AGGGCTGGGGATTTAGCTTAGTGGCACCGCGCCTGCCTTGCAAGCACAAGGTTCTGAGTTCAATCCCTGGTACCAAAAAAAGGAAGAGTTTTTAAATTAATTTATAAGAAATTCTGTGTACTTTCTTATTCAAGTTTCAGAATAGCCTTAAAACGGAATACACACATTTAAGAGGTCAGGGAACTTAGGCTGGAGACGTGACTCAGCAGAGGTCTTGCGGGTGTGAGTCCTGGTTTCCCACTGCTGCCTTTGCCTCAGGGTGGTACCGGCAGTGTCAGGAGCAGAGGGAGGCATGGTGTGTGCTCGCTTGTCCCACTCGAGAGTATAAACACTCACACCGGTGTGTTACTCTCATAAGCCGCACAGAGTTTTTAAGCACATGTAGTCACTCTGCCTTAAATGGTTCCCTTAGTTCTCACTCCCACTATGGTTTTACTGCACAGAACGGCAGCAGTGCTTACCCCTTCCTGGCTGAGCCTGGGCACTGTGAGCACTTTGCACGAACGGTCTCCAATACTCCCCAGGCGACTCTTGGCGATACACCTGGTCCTGCTCCACTGTGCGGGTGGAAGAGCAGGGCCGGAGCCAGGCACTGTCCGAGGCCAGGGCGCGTGAACCCCTTAGCAGGTGAGTGGCCGGTGTGGACGCACCATGGTGTCCGCCCTGTAGGCATCAGGGCGGTAGCAGTTTCGAGTCACCTTCAGGTGGGTCCTTTGCACTGTGGCAGAGCTGCATTGCCTCTGGCGTAGTGACACGAAGCACAGCCGCCCAGAAGAGCCCCTCTTTGACATGCCTGCACTTGCTGGCATCTATGTATGAGGCTCAGATTGCTGACACTCTCCACACGTGAACATGCGTGTGATTCTTGAGGAGCCAACATGCTCCTTTAGGGTGTGGACCAGGCAGTGTTTCTCACAAGCTATTTAGTAAATGTGACAAATTTCTGAAGACTCCTCAAAGAAAAGACCTGCAGAATGGCATCCTGTGTCTGAATGTCTCATCTGAGCTCAGTAAGAGGCAAGAAAATGGAGAAGCCACTTGGAGAAACGATTTGGCCCTTCCTCAAAAGGGTAAACACAGTTACCGTGTGGACCACAGTCCTACTCCTGTGTATACCCGAGAGAAGCTAAAACAACCAGACACAACCTTGTGCATGAACCTCAACAACAGCATTTGTTCAGTTGGGTTGTCAAATGTCCACCCAAATGTCTAGCAGTTGATGAGCAGACAAACCTAACATGTTGTACCCATTCCGGGGGATATTTGGCAGTAGAAAGTAGTACAATGCTGACACACGTCACAGCCTGAATGACCCTTCAGAGCGTGCTAGGTCAGCGGTGGTGAACCTATGGCATGCATGCTCATGCTGCAGCCACCTGTTCGCTATCACCAAAAGCTCTCAAAGGCTCATCTCGAGATGAAAAAAGCTAGGCACAAAAGGCCTCATATTGAATGAGTCCACTTGTGACACACCAGGGTGGGCAGGTCCATAGGAGGAAAATGTAGTTAGTGATTGCCAAGGGCTGGGAAAGGGTAGAATGAAGAACGACCGGATAGGAGTAAAATTGCCTTTGGGGGTAATGCAAGTGTTCTAACATTAGCAGTGGCAATGGTTGTACAGCTCCGCGAGTATGCTAAAACTGGCCGTGTTGCATACTTTGAGAGGGTGAATTCAATGGTGTGTCCATTTTATCTTGATGAAATTATTATTGAAAAGTTTTGATAAACGTAGAGCTACCCATGAGAAAAAAGTGCAAACTTCTGTAGACCATTTATACTATGCTTTTCACAACGGTGAAACTTCATTTAGGCCATTCTTATAAAGCATATCAGCAAAGTGGCATTCTAAGTTCCTGAAACACTAGCCTGGATTGCATTATGCTAAAAGGCTCCTAAATGGAAATGCGATGACTCTGCGTCCTAGTGGCATTTGCGCCCTTGGTGTGGAGCATTCTCTGCCACCACCGCTCACTTCAGGGCAAGAAGAGCAAGTTTATAGGAGACAGTGTCTGTCTTAGGCCCTTTCCAGTGCTAAACTTAGAATTGCTTGCTAAGATGATCAATATGCTAGAAATTTTGGGAGCTAATTAGGTCAACAAATATGATTCTAACTCATCAGGACAAAAGGTCAGATGGATGAAAGACTGAGAAGTGTTGTGTATTAGTCGTCGTGGTTGATTGTGAAGAAATTTGTTCCTTGCATCTGCAGGACACACACAGTATACTGAATTACTTCTTTGATATAAAGGTTGTGAGTGAACGACGTATCTTCTAGAAATGCTGGCACTGATGTGAGGTGTTCCATTAGCAGTTCCACCTTTTGTGATGAATGTTTCTTTCTCCAGCTCCGTGGGAATAAGCGCACCTTGTTTCCAGCTCAGGCCTCCTCCTGGGGTTTTCCCATGCCCGGGTCCCGTGGTGATCCTGAGTCCCCTCTTCCACACACTGTACTGTCCCCACCTTGCACAGCCAGATGGCTTCTTACGGTCCAGGGGCCACTGACAGGAATCAGTCATAAACCTGCACACACTCCCTAACTGCACCAAAGCACAAAGGAGAAACTGGCAGAAATGAAGTCACAGTTCGGTGACAGCAGGCAGGAGCTTGGGCACCTCACCACAGTCACGAACAGTGCAGCAGGGCAGCAGATCAACAAGGAAGGAGAAACTGAACGGCTGTAAACCAGCTACGTCCAGCGGACAGTTCGGTACATCCTGTCCCGTGACAGCAGAGTACATGTTCCTGCGGTGCCCGTGCGTGGAATGTGTTCCAGAACAGGCCGCTTGCTAGGGTAGGGGGAAAAGGCAGTAAATTTAAACGGCTAGAAGTAATACAAAGGACCTTTGCCAATTAAAATGTAATTAAATTATAAATCAACTACAGAAAAAAATGGGAAGCTAAAAAAATGTGGAAATTAAACAGCACACTGCTAAATAACCACTAGGTCAACGGTAAATCAGAAAATATATTGAAATGAATGAAAATGGAGAAACAACATTCACAAACTTAGGGGATGCTGCTAAAGCAGAGTTTACAGGAAAACTGGGCTGCAATCATGGTATTACAAAAGAAGAAACATCCTCATTCAACAGGCTAACCTCGCACCTTACGATAGTGTGTGTGTTGGGGGGAGTAACTGATCCTAAATCCTGCAGAGGGAAGGAAATAAGGATTATAGCAGAAATCTACAGAAAATAAAAACCCAATATAAAACAATCGCGACTAACATTTCTAAAAACTTTAAAGCCAATTATAGTAAAATTTTAGTACCAATTATAATAAATTGAATTAAAATGTTTGCAGAAGACATTAAGCCAGGAATATTTTTCACAAAGTAGGCGATGTATTTTCTTAATATATTAAACTACATTAAATTTTCAATATGTTCCACATTCCTGTTATAAAAAAAAGTCATGAAAATAACCACCAGGAGCTGCCTTTTGCCAACTCAGATTCCCTTGGAAACCATCAGCCAAAGCAGACGCCCTGCCCAGGCCTTGCTGTGGGCACCCAGTTGTTTTTTCTTTTTCAGACAGGGTCTGGCTATGTAGCCCAGGCTGGCCTTGAACTCACAGCAGTCCTCCCGTTGCAGCCTCTCGAGGCCTGGGATTACAGGCCTGTGCCACCACGCCCGGCCTAAAGTTGCCCAGTTCTTGAAACCTATTTTCTGTGTCTGTGAAACAGAAGTAATTTCCTCAGTAAGGAACATGTGAGATAATGTACATGAAAGAACTGCTTTGATGCTTGGTTTAGAGGAGATAGATTGATCAGTATCTATTCTATATTCATTTGATGATTTAAAAATTAAACAACAGTCTGATTGCTCATATTGCGTTGGTATGCGTACGTAAATATGTGTGACAGAGCAGAAGAAAAAGTATTTACTGTTGAACTCTAGCGCGCACCAGGCTTCATGCTGGTCATGTTTTCTGTAGTTAGGTTATACCTGTCTGACAGTAGGGAGAGATTGTTCGCTGTTTTAATAATTACTCAGACGTTCGAGTTGGATACAATGTGTGTCCTGGCCTAAATGGCTGTAGTGGCCGAACACCTGGGCCCTTCCAACAGGCAGCCGTTTATAATCTGCTGCCACTGTCCGTTCTGTGCCTCGTGCTTCACCACTCAAGCGCACCTCTGGGCCGGCAGGGTGAAGGCTTCGTAGCACATTCACGGGTGAGCCGCGAGGTGACTGACTTGGTCTGGTCTCTGCTCAGTGTGTTCTCTGCCCACTGTGTTTCATGTGGCTGGCCATGTACAAGTTGCATGTTGCTCCTAAGCCTGTCAGTGTGGTGACAGATACAGGTCACTTGGGGCTCCTGTTGGGCACGGAGTGAGGACCAGGTTGCACCAGAAAATGGCGCTTCCCTGAGCTTCCTGGCACTGCCAGGGCGGCTGGACCTGGCCGCTCTGTGAGCAGAAGATGGTGCAGCAGCCGAGAGGGCCAGGCTCCCTGCCTGAACCCTGGTCCCGACTGCTGCCTGTGCACACCCTCTGACCCCTCAGCTGAGCGCTGAAATGGGCTCGCTAAAAATTTGGAGGCATGGAATAGCAGGGATTCTGTCCTTGTATTATGAGCATTGCAGTGGCCGAATGAGGTAACGGCGCGCCTTGTAAGGTGTGCTCTGCCCTCCTCTGCGTCTCCCTGCCGCCTCTCAGCTCTCTTTCTGGTGTACACCATTGGGCACCAACGGTGATAGGCGTGAAACTGCTCCATTCTCATCGTCTAGATCTGCGGCTCTGCCCTCCACCCTGCCTGTAGCTAGAGCCAAGAGCCTGCATCCCAGCCTTTTGTCACATAGCTGGAGGAATCGTGTGCAGTTTTGCTCTCGTCCTTCCGTGTGCGTGTGGCAGCCTCCCAGGGAAGCTGGTCTGGAAGCCTGGGTCCCTGGGAGGCGTGTGGGTATGCTGCTGGGTGGCTCCTCATGAAAGGGGACCCATCACTGGGGTGTGTCATCACATCAAATCCCTGACGTGTGATGGTGCCGTCTGCTTTCTTACAGGACATAGAAGCAGCCGCAGGAAAAACAGGAGGAAAGGCAGCAGGAGGAAGTGGGGAGCGACGATCCACCCGGCGGGCGACGTGGCAGCCCTGCACAGTGGGTCGGCAGCTGAGCCGCCCGCTGCACTGGGGAACCGGACCGATGGCCTGAGGGACAGGGGGACACGAAGGAGGACCAAGCGCTTCTTGTCCTACCCCCGCTTTGTGGAGGTGATGGTGGTGGCGGACAACAAGATGCTTCTGTACCACGGAGCGAACCTTCAGCACTATGTTTTGACCTTGATGGCCATTGTAAGTACACTCAGAAGGTCGTCTACGGGGAAGGGGCTGCCCACAGCGCCCGGGGAGCCCTCGGCCGGCCTTCCAGCCACTGGGAAAAGCAGAAGGGAACTTAGGGTTATTCACTGGCTGCCTTTCTGTAACGACGATGGTGGTGATCCATATTGAGTGGTTGTTCTGTGTTTTATATGAAATTTAAATCATTTCCCACTTAAAAGGCATAATTCTGCTAGGGTGGATTATTGCCCCATTTTATAGCTAAGAAGACTGAGTCTTGGAGGAGTTAGGTCACTTGCCGGTGGTCACGTGAGCTACCAAGGTGCCTCGACCCCTCCAGCACGTGACCCTCAGCCTGTCCCTTCCCAAGTGCATGTGCTTGGGTTTATGAACTTCCTCACTAGTGTGGCTCTCCAGTGATACAGGACTGTTGTCAACCATAGTCCCCGGGGAGCTTTAAAAACGCAGTCACCACCTGTCACATCTTACGCAGCACCCTCAGTACGTAGCCCTGCAGTGAGGTCTGAGAGTCACTTTCTTTTTATACTTGGAAACACCAGCAGTTTGAGGGCTGGGGATTTAGCTCAGTGGTTCTGCTGCCTGCCTCGAAAGCACAAGGTCCTGAGTTCGATCTCCGGTACCAAAAGAAAGAAACCCACTGCCTGCGGTGCTGCCATCTGGCCCCACTGCTGCGGCCACTCCCCTGGGTACCCCAGTGCTGACCCCACCCCTTTCCACCTCCATGTTCCGGTGACCAGGAAGGGACGACAGGAAACCTGACCAGGCTGGCGTGGGCTACTCTCTGTGTCCACCCTGTAGTTCCTGTCCTAGGAATTTTGATTACAAACATGAGCTCTGGCCGCACGACCGAGGCTCAGAATTCCCGCTCTGCTGCTCACCATGCACCTAGCTGCTCTGATCCTCAGCTTCCTCCCTCGTTACCGAGGCTGTGACAGACCTGGTTTAAGGTTTCACTGTTGCAACTAAATGCAGGTGCTTATCCAGTGTTCAGCAAAGATCTAGTCCACAGTGATGCGAGTGTCAGCTCTCAGAACCAAATGTAGCAGCACAAGACATACCCGAAGCAGGTTTCGCAGGGTTTGGGGGTATAGGCAGGTACAGCTCAGAGAACTGTGAAGCTCAGCAAACTCGGTCCGTGTGCGGCTCTGGGGAGGCGACCAGGACTTGGGGTGGGGGAGGAAGCTGCAGCAGAATTAGCATCTGGTGTTTTGGTACAGAGAGCTGCTGAGTTGCCTGGCAATGTGATCTCAAGGGAAAATGCCCTGGAATTTAAACTTGCTCAAGTTCATTATGACCTAAAACTGCCATCTGTAGATTCTACGGAGAGACTTTAAATAAATGTTTGTTGAATGAATGAAAATTCACGACTACAAAATGCATGTGTTGCATGAAACATGAAAAGAAGCGCAACCCGGCCTGAGAAGTGAATGCTTGTTGCTTACAGAGAGCTCACAATTAACTTTGAAAAATTTATCTCGGTTGCAGGTAGCCTCTATCTATAAAGACCCCAGTATTGGAAATTTAATTAATATTGTTATTGTGAACTTAGTTGTGATTCATGATGAACAGGTAATAAAGTTTTTTTCTTCTATCTGTATACGAAATGGCATCTCTGATTGGTGTGGCCAGCAGAAGCCAACCGTAACTCTTCTCTGTGTTTAGGAAGGACCTCCCATATCTTTTAATGCCCAGACAACATTAAAAAACTTCTGCCAGTGGCAGCATTCGAAGAACTACCCAGGTGGGATCCAGCACGATACTGCTGTGCTCATTACGAGGTACATGCACTTCTGCTTCCTGCAGTCCCTGTCTCGGGCCAGGGTGTTGGGCTGTGGTCACGGACTCAGCCCTGGCGGGGGTTTCTCGACCTGCACCCTGCTGAGATGCGGGCCTGGGTTGTGAGGGTCACCTTGGTCAAGTTCACCGCTGTCAGTGCCTCCAAGGGCCCCTGGGAGGGCAGGAAGGAGGGCCAGTCGGAGCTGAGGCCTAGCAGCTACTGGCAGGAAGGAGAAGCGTGTTCGGCCGACCTCAGCGTGAATGCCCCTCCAGCAGGGCAGCTGCCCTTGCCATTGAGGGGTTGTTGCCATCCAGCATCCGATTCCAGTGTTTCTGGCTTGCGTGATTATGCAAGAAGCCAGAAATAGGAGTGGTGGTTTTTTTCAAATGTGAAATCTCATGAGTTTTAAAGGTACTCCTATCTTGAAAATGTTTAAAACATTGTAGCAGAGCAAGAAGGAAAGTCGCTGGCCTACTTGTGCCTACATGGTGGGCCGCCCTGATAATGGGGTGCTAACCGCTGCTTTCGTGGTCTTGGGGATTTGGAGGGGCCTTGCACATACACCCTCCTGCTGAGCCACACCTCCAGCCCTCTATTGGCTCCTAAGTAAACTAATGCAAAGCATTCAGCACCTTCTCAAGGATATTTTCAGTCTTCTTTATAAAATTCCAGTTGCTTAATGTAAGGCATGGGGAAGTCCTGCTCAGAGAGGTTCTGGCTTCTCTGGCTGACCTGGCAGCACAGACTTCTACTGCAGCTTTTAACCTGGAACTCAGGGCTTCCCGAACTTTTCTGTGTTGTAAAGCCCTGGCCTGGTTAGTTTGCTTTCTGTGACCCCGGGCACTGTGGTGAATGTGTAGAAAACTGAGGTATTTGCATGCATTGGTTCACACTCGGTGCTGCAAGGCCTAACACTGCTCTGTTTTCAGGCAAGACATCTGCAGAGCTCACGACAAGTGCGACACCTTAGGTGAGTCCCCTGCGTGTGTCCTCGGTGGCCAGAACAGTTTACTGCATGTCTCCGTCACCAGCCACAATCGCTTTTTAAAGTAAACCCTTGTTGTTCTTGCCCCCTTCTGATAGGTCTTGCTGAACTGGGAACCATTTGTGATCCCTACAGGAGCTGCTCTATTAGCGAAGACAGTGGGTTGAGTACAGCTTTTACAATTGCCCATGAACTGGGCCATGTGTAAGTTTCTGCTTCATAATTTCATTCAGTTCCAAGCAACCAAAAACTTTTGTTCCTTTGCATCGGTGAACATTTACTTGACTGTGGAGGGTATAAGATACTTCCCAAGCCACAGCAGAATTGCAGGATTTGAAGCTTTGAACCTAATTGGAAGAAATGACTTTGACTTCAGAAAGCTGAGTGAATGTAGCATGCCCTCTCTTGCATGGTTCATGTGTGTCTCTGCTAGCGTTTGATGCGTACAGCTTAATAGTCTGCCTTCCTGCTGGGAGCAGGAGGCACCCGGCCTTTCCACTCTTCCTCTGCAGGAGAGGGTATATTGACTTGGAGAACTTTCCTGACTCAACGTCTCTTCGAGGAGGGTCCCGCAACATTGCTCTGGCCCATAAGATTTTTACGAATCCAGATCTGTCCCGGCTATAGCTAATCCAGATGCGGAGCATCTGGGAAAGTAACAGCCTCTCTGGAGGAGAGGAACAAGCAGAGACACAGCGGGAATCATTTCCCAGTTAGGGTCACCTAGTGGCCATTTGAGAATGACCTTTCCCTTTGGCTCTTTAGGGACAGGGCACTTAGGACATGAGGCAAATCCATGTGAATTTTCTAGAAATTTCTCTGATTGTTGAACTGCATTGTTTTCTTTCAAAATGAATCACTCACATTCTACATTTTTGAAATGATTTTCTCCAAAGATGCATTAGTACAGTAGAGCTGTACATCAATTTGTGTGTCGGATACTAACTTTATTTAGAGCTAGCATCTATTACCCAAGCATTTTTACTCACATAGTTTTGTAAGATACCTTATATGCAGTGTGATGTACTAGGCATAGAGCAAGATGTGTGTGTATATACACGCATACACACACACATACACACACACACACACAGGCAACTCCAGGTCAGTTCTATAAAAATGGATATACTTTAGTACCTTTTGGCGGTATTTTAAGAGCACACCCCTTTTCCTCCAATGAGGCACTCTCAGGTGACCAACACTAGAGCATGTGAGAGAGGCCTGGCTTTCAGTGCAGCAGCTGGGCTGGCCCAGACCTGCTCCGTCAGCATCTCCTCTGTCCCCCACCCCAGAGGCATCTTCACGGGATGCAGGGGCTCCTTGAGGAGAGTTCTAATCCCGGCCCCCATCTAAGTAGCCCTGTGACCCTGCTCCTGTGATCACACCCCTCTGTGGCTCAGCTCCTCATTTGCGAAATGTAGGTAATAGTACAGTCAGCCCTGGGTGTCTGGGGGGGGCTGTTCCCAGAGCCCTGTGGATACCAGCATCCTGACATGCTTGAGCCTGTCATGCAGAGAGGTGTAGCAGCTGCATAGCACTGGCGCACACCCTCCTGAACACTTGAAATCCACTCTTGCACTGCATCGAATGTACTTCCCGGTGCATCGTGAATGCTGAAAAGCCTTGGTTACTGTTGTTTAATAAGTGCTCAACCAGGCTGGGGGTGTATAGCTCAGTGGTAGAGGCCTTGCCTAGCATGTAAAAGGCTCTGGGTTCATCCTCAGAACAACAATAATAGCAATAATGCTTTCCTTAAAGAAATGTTCCTTAAATATCTATTTAGCCCCTGCAATAAGCAAATTTGCCTCATGTGTGACAGAAGATACATTTTTTTTAATATAACAAAATAAACTGATTTTACCAAGTCATGGTGGAGTAGGGAATAAAGACCAGACCTATTGTGCATAGAACAAGCTAAAGTTAGAATGCAGTGCTTGTCTGGAGTTTATCAGTATAAATACTGCAGTGACCATGTAGCCAGGAACTAGAAATCAGGACAGTCATTCTTTTAAGAAAACAGACTCTTGAGCATTTAAATTATTAATTACTAATAACCAAGAAAGATTGAGTCTTTCCATTCCTATTGTCCAATTGAGAGGCCTACATTCTTTTTTGGGGGGATCAGGGATGGAACTCAGGACCTTACGCTGGTGAGGCAGGCGTGGTGCCACTGAGCTATGCCCCGGCCCAAGGGGCCCACATTCTTTTAAAGAAAAAGAAAACACAAGAGAAATTCGGATGTAGACTCAGTGACTTTTCCCTTTTCCCCTCCCTGTTCTGGGGTTGAACACAGGGCCTTCTCACCGAGTTATATCCCCAGCCCTTTTGATTGATTGATTGATTGATTGATTGATTTTCAAGACAGGGTCTCCCTAAATTGCTGTCTCACCCAGGCTGGGCTGCAGTTTTCCATCTTCCTGCCTCAGCCTCACGGGGCGCAGGGATCATAGGGGTGCACTGCCACGGCCAGCAGCAGCTTCCCCTTCCCGTGAAGGGGCCACACTGCTGCATGACTCCCTTACTGCGTGCTCAGGATGAACGCGAGGAGGGAATGCTTCAGCTCACTGAGCAGCAGCATCTTCCTGGGCAACAAGAGGTGGAGGAGCCTCCCTGGCCCTGTCTGCAGATGGACAGCTGCCTGGGCAGAGAGCACTGTGTGGGCGCAGAACCTGTGCTTCTGGGCCGAGGAAATGCTTGCATTGCTTCTCTCCCACTTCCTCTGCCTAAGCCAAGAGGGGAGAGCATGTGCTAAGGCTGCTGCCGAGTCCCCTCGGGCCTCAGCACGCTGGCAGCCCTCCCAGCCTCTCCGCAGAGCCTGGGGTCGGTTAGGAAACCTTGGTGCCTGACTCTTCAGGAAATGTGTGCCAATCGGCCGGTGCTGGCTCGAAGTTCGGAACTACTTGGCACCCTGTATTAAAGCAGCCGATGGGCCGCTGTGGTTTCCACGCTCACACACTCCTGAGCTCTGTGCCGCCTCTGAACACCTGCAGCGCTGTCCGGGGCGTCGAGGCCATAGGGAGCCTCTGATTAGGAAGGTTTGGCTTTAGTTGTAGACATGACTGACTTTCTGTATTCATAACAGTACCTCAGCTGGCCAAGCTCTTGACTAGAAATTACCCTTCAACAAATTATTAGGAATTCCAGCTACTGTATTCTAGCACCAATTACAGCACATTCAGAGTTTATGCAGTTCCAAAAAGTACACTTAAACCCCCAAAATGGCCCAGTATGCATCTTTTTATTCGTTGAAGGAGCTTTATGTTAAATTGAGTGAAAGTTCTGTTGTGTTCTACACTCTGTCTCGAATTGTCTTAAATTTTATTCTACTCACCTGATTGAGGTTCTTATCCACAGAACAATAGCCAGTTGATTTTTTTCTCTGAGATGTGTTCTTGACGCAGTCGTGTCAGCACAATCCTTGGGTGTTCGCTGACATTCTCCTCGCTCCTCACGGCTTTAGGTTTAACATGCCTCACGACGACAGCAATAAGTGTAGAGAAGAGGGCGTGAAGAACACCCAGCACGTCATGGCGCCGACCCTGACGGTCGACACCAACCCCTGGATATGGTCAAAGTGCAGTCGAAAATACATCACTGAATTTTTAGAGTAAGTCTTGAAATTTCTTTGAGCACAGACCTCTGGAATCTGGCTACATGGAGTGAACTAGTTGTGGGGAAGAAAATGCAGAGTCAGGCATTCCTTTCAAGTTGTTCTTTTTGTTGACATTCTTCGAAGGAGGGAAAACAACTCTCTCATCCGTGTGGTCCCAGTCTTGCCAGTGTTTAGAACATTCCAGACTGAGCAAAGAAGAGGTTTGGATCTCAGAAGGAATGTGGAAAGGGTGCTGGATTCGAGTAAAGCTTTGAAATTTGCTCAGTTTTGGAAGAGTGAGTGTGATGCCGTGATGAAGACCACAGTATTTGTGGACTTTTCACTCAGCAGTTTTGGCTTGGGAAGGTCTGGGATCTGCGGGTCCCAGGGTGGGATTCTCGGTGGACGGGAACTGCAGTGCTGTCAAGTCAAGGATTCGTCTCTCTCTTTCTCTCCCCTCTTGCTTTTCTTTCTTATTTTGTTTTTGGCTTTCCCACTAGGCTGCTCAAAGGCCCATTTACGTTATGCACCGCCCTGTGTGTGGCCCTGTGTGTGTGACAGATGTATTCTTCTTCTCTCCAGATGTAGGAAAGACCAGGGGATGGTCCCTCAGCCCCGGGTGTGTATTCCCACAACCCTAGGGGAGAGGGGTTTGTTAATCAGGACTCGCTGGGTGTGAGTTTCTCAGGAGAGATGTTTGTAGAGGAGTGAGAGAGCTAGAGGGTCGCCGTTTTTCTTCTCAAGCAGGTGGTACAAGGTGTTCTCTTCTGGGAGTCTGTAATTCACTGACTCGCTCATCCCTTCAGCAGACATTCAGTAAACATCTGTCGCAATGAGCAGGCCCCAAGCGTAGATGAAACAGACACTGTCCGTGTCCCCAGGAAGCTTACAGCCCATTGGGAAGGAGTACAGTAGACAGTTGGCCTGGATGTGATCAGTGCTGTGACAGATACATATTTCCGGCTGACTAGGTCATGTGCATAGCCTGTACTTTGACACAGTGCACACCAGAGACATGACTTCAGCTTCTAGACTCACCCCTGGTGGGGAGAACAAAGCCGAGTCCAGAAGGAAACCCCCTTTGCTGCCGTTACATTGGTGGGGTGACCTTTACAGGTGCCGGGAGCTGCTTGCAGTCCCTGTTTTCATATCTGCCTGTGTCTGCTTCCCACAGCACTGGATACGGTGAATGTTTGCTTAATGAACCTGAATCCAGACCCTACTCTCTGCCTTCCCAACTGCCGGGCCTCTTTTACAGCGTGAATAAACAATGTGAATTCATTTTCGGACCAGGAGCTGAGTTGTGCCCGTACATGGTAAGTATTTAGGGGTTGTTTCCGCCCTTGACTGTTGATCCTGGGCTTCTTTTGATCCAGGGTTTCCCGTGAGACTTTCTCTGACACCCAGGGAACAGGTGAGAATGAGGCAGGACGAGGAGGGCACTGCGCAGGGCCGGGCGATCATGCTGGCCGCCCGGGGGAGACGCGCCGTCACTGGCATTTACCTTGGGCAAGTGAGGCTCTGAACGCACCAGGCCGCGGAGCTGGCAGCTGCAGCACCGGCGGCTGCTCCTCCTCTTCTCCTTACTTGCTGTACCCGTCCAAGTGGCCCAGATGGCAGGGGCAGAGGCAGTAAAGGGCACCCAAGGGGCACCTGCCCCAGCTTTTCAAGGTCTTGTCCTGGCACCACCTGGCGATCAGCACTTCCAGTGGTGCCCAGCTGGTGTGGGCTGCGAGTTTTGGTGCAAGCGGCATGGATGCTTGGACACTGGATGTCGTCAGGCTGGAGAGGAACACAACCAGGCGCTGTGCGGAGAGCCTTCAGAGACTGCATGATAACCTAGAGTGCAGGGACTCTGTAGAAAAGACCTTTAAAGTGTGGGTGGGGCCGGGGATTCAGCTCAGTGGTTTCTCCACCTGCTGCGCAAGCGCAAGGACCGGAGTTCGATCCCCGGTACCAAAAACAAAACTGTGAGTGACTCAGTCCATAATAGCGTTCATTTCTGTTATTCATGGTGGCATAGTCAGAGTCATGGAAATGGACAACACAAGGAAGGTCAACCATTCAGTGGAACAGTGTGTAGCAGTTGGAAAATGATCGACACTTGTAATACATACTTGTAAGAGACTGAAGTTAAACAGCAGGATAGACAATTTATAGAGTATGTTCTCAGCTTTAAATGGAGGGCAAAAACTACAGGAAACACAGAGTAGTTTGGGACTTTTTTATATTTTTTCAATTAAGTTCTTATAACTTCTCAACTTCCCTACTGTAAGCATGGTTTATTATAATAATTAGGAAAAAATCAGATTATTTTTAAAAAGTGTCCCATTAAATAGATAGATGAAAGGTATCAGTCGGGATAAATCAAAGAGGTGGGCCTTTTGCGTGGGTGGATCTATGTGCTCTGGTGTGGAGCTTGGAGCAGAGGGTGACCACATTGCTGGGGTGTCACAAGCCTGTGGGAGAGCACTGCGGGTGGAAGTAGCAGGCGCTGCCCGGGACGTGGCCAGCTCTAGGGAGAAGGGCATAAGGAAGGGAACCTGGGGTGCAGGTCCTTGAGCTCCCTGTGAAGTTTCTTTTCCTTAGTGGGCCAGTGGGTACATGAGAATCCATTGTGTTCTTTTTTTTTATACTTTTTTGGATGCCTGAAACGTTCCACGGTATTTTGTCTCTTCTTTTCTCTGACACCCCCCTAAAAACCTTACAAATGATTCATAATATGATTGAGATACCACTTGGCCCTAACAGAAGAGAACCACAGCGCACTAGTTCTGAGGTCGCACAGAGCCCAACAAGTCAGAACTACGACAGCTCACCTCAAAACCTGAATGCACCCCACACGTTCCAGGGTGGTACTGAGCACGCCCCGTCCCCTTGAGCCTCGGTGACCCAGGGAGGTACACGGAAGACCCCAGTGCCATGTCCATGTCGGATGTGCAGTGCTCCCCTTTTACACTCCACTGTCCCTCCAGGCCCAGAAGCACCTTGAGGGCTGTTCTTTACATGCCGTGGAACGTTTCTCGGTTTGCCATGCCCAGAGATGAACCCTTTCCCCAGCATTTCCCCAGGTTGTCATCGGCAGAACACTAACTGAAGGGGATTTGCTCTGTTCCCTGCCGACTTAATCTTACTGTCTCTTGCTTGTTGTTCAACTGAATGGAGCAGGTGCAGTGTAGACGGCTGTGGTGCAACGTGAAGAGAAAGGATCAAAGCTGCCAGACGCAGCACACGCCCTGGGCTGACGGGACGGAGTGTGAGCCCGGAAAGGCAAGTAGCGCCCTTCCATCCTGTTTGGGGCCGAGCACGCGAGCTGTGGCAGCGTTTAGGAGGCAGGGCAGTTCAGTGAGTCTGACGTAGCTGCGTGTTTGCTGAGGAGGAGAGATTGGCCTGGTGTTGACACTGAACGTCCCTCAGGGCCTGGTACAGCGGAGGTGTGCTGCATTACAGCCTCAGTTTAAGACCTCTCGGGGTAAGACTTGCTCTCCTTCGCAGTTTGCTGACACCGCAGTGTGCTTCTGAGCTGAGGGGGACACTTAGTGGATGACAGTGTTTCTATTTTTTCTCTCACTTTTGCCACTGGGACACCATTATACAGTCGATGGAGCGGCTTACAGTCAAGGAGATACGGAAGCTCTGATGCTGCCCAGACACAGCTCCGTGCTCGGTCTCGTGAGCTGGTGAGAGTGGCCCTGATTTGTCCATAACTGAATTGTATGTGCGGTTTGTGTGGCCAGTGACGAGTTTCCCCCACACCTAGGGACAGATGCACTGAACCTGCTGCACCTGGTTTGCGTCTCCAACAGTGGTGCTGTTAGTAAAACTGCCATCAGCATCACCAAAAATTCCAGTTGTGAATTTCGGGGCGTGGTGGTGCACACCTGTAATCCCAGTACTTGGGAGGCTGAGGCAGGAGGATCGCCATGAGTTCAAGGCCAGCCTGGGCTGCACAGTGAGCCGAAGGAAAGCCTAGACTAATAGTGAGACCCTGTCCCAAAGGAATAAAAAACTTTTTTAGGAATAAATCCTGCTTTTTAAAAAAGAATCCATAGGGATAATGACATTCTGCCATTTACCAGCGGGACATCCTTGGACTGTGTTTCCGGGACCTGGCCGCTCCTCCTCCTTCCCATTGTCCACCTCACTTGGGAATAATGTATTCACACGCCAGCCCCTTGTCCTCCGCTTCACCTTGTAGAGCTAATTGCACCCAGAGTGTCTCCTTGGAAGGGGTCCTAGGAGGTGACAGTTTTACTCGCTGCCCTTGATTTTATGGAGCACTGAGACAGTGAGTTTTCTGGGCTCGCACAGGTCATCTGGGTGGTGCTGGCTCAGCCTCCCGTGGCCCTTGGTCTGTCCCCTGCTGCATCAGAAGGCGAGGCAGAGCCGAGTCAGTCCTTGGCCTCTGCTCAGCTCAGAGCTCTTCGGTCCCCACTGTCACCTGGAGGACCTGAGCTTTCCTCTTGTCTCCAGGGTGGTTACCGAGCCCAGCGAGGAGGAGGGTGGCAGTCCTGGTTAGCCATAGTGAAGGTGGTTTGGTTGGCGTGAACTGTGCACTGTCAGCTCATCAGAGTCTCCATGGCTGCAACAGCCTTCCCAGGAGCAGCGAGCAGAAGCTGCACGGCAGAGCTCTGGGACCCGCGCTGTCCTGACGGGCCCGTGTCTCGCCGAGAGTGACGCATACCTTTTGCAGGATGTTGCTTAGTGTGTGGAGGCCGCAGGTGCACAGGTGTGTGCAGGAGTCTGCTCCTCTGGTTTCCATGGCAATCACTGAACACTGGCTGTGACACTCACTCGTAGACAGTCAAGATAGGACCGCAGAGCCCTTCTAGATACAGTGATGGACAGCCGCCCACAGTCTGTGGGAGATGCCAGTCAGCTTGACACCTACCTGACAGTTTGCTTGGTCAGCCGGGGTTGAGCCATCCAGTTACAGGGCCTACGCCGAACCTGATCTCAGCAGAATCACTGGAGCTATGCTGTTGTTCTCAGTCTACCTGACACGTGCATCTGCTGGGTCCATTCCTGACATATGTCATTGCTGGAAAAACCACGGCAAAAACTGTCAAGAAGGTAGTGTGGTGACTTGTGTCACAAGCAGGCCACCGGCCTCCACAGTGGTGGGCTTCCCAGCCACTTCTGGAACAGGAAGCATGGAGAGGTCAACTGCGACTTGTCCTGATCTGTCTGTGTATCGGAAGCAGAGGAGGGACGTGTGCGTGCAGGTAACCTCAGCCTGCGAAGGAGAGGAGCAGGGAGAGGTTGCCGAAGACCCCCTCGGGTGCTGTGTGCAGGCGGAGCAGGGGCCTCAAGCACTCCAGGGCTCAGGCTGGGGACTCAGGAAAGCAGCTCTGCGAGAAAGCCATAGGTAGGTGAGCCTTGAGCTGTGGCTCAGCAAAGTGGTCAGATAGGTCTAACAGCTTTTACCACAGACACGGGTGCATATAAAATGCAGGAAACAGTACTTAGGCATTTTACAGATGCCACAGAAGGTAGATATGTTGGCATAGAAACTCTGTGTGATTTTTAAATTCTGTGTTGATGTCATAGAATTGGCAGTCTGTGTCTTTTTATATGTGGGAGCGGTTCTGAGCCCTTTGCCCGTGGATCCCTCCTTTCTGCCCTGCTCCCTCAGCAGTAATCCCTTTTAGGCTCCTGACACAATATTAGTTTGACACATGACTCACTAATGTCTCTGTATTTTCCCCCTTCTTTGGTTAAGTCCATAAACATTTTCATTTTAACCCTGTTTGTGAGACTGAGGTTTGAAACTCCTTTGTTTCAAGCCTTCTTGGAACAAAATTGACCTCCGAGTTCCCCTTCCAAACATTTTAAAAGATGCATTTATGTGCAGTATCAGTTAAATGGTTTGGGACACCCTCAGAAAGGCTGACCTTTCTCGGGCTCCAGTTCCAGCAGCCATGCTTCGTTAGGGTGCAGTGTCTGTCCTGGCAGCAGCAATGACCTGTCAGATTTGCCTGGAGAGTAGACTCAGGGCTCGTGTTTCCCAGACAGACCCTGGTCCTGTGTCCCCTCTTCCTGGGCTCCTTACTCCCTTCGGGTCCCCGCTAACGGTTGTGCCACTAGGAAAGGTCTGGTCTGCAGACCTGTTCTTAATTCTTTTTTATCTAATAAGGGACAGCAGCGGGACGCTGCAGCGCAGTACTGAGTGGGAGCGCCGGAGAGCCCCGGCCGGCCCTCCCACGCTCCGAGTCTGTGGTGGATGGGTAATGTTCTCGCAGTGCTTTGCTGCTGTGTGGAGGGAAAGCTCATGGAAGGCAGGTGTTGGGGGAGGGAAGTGTGCAGCGCCACGGCACACATGCTTCTGGGGACAGCTGCAGCCTTTCGGGATGACCGCTCTGTGCCCCTCTGTCCGCGGTTGGGAGGCAGCCACACTGCAGCGGAGCGTCAGCTCTGTCGGGCGGCCTTGGCATTTTGCTCTCCTTTCTGCCCAGTGCTGATGCCTGGAGTGAGCCTGCGGTGCCTCCACCATTCTGCAGAAGCGGGGCAATAACAGCGCCTACCGCGAGCTGTGTTGTGAGGTCAAGTTACTGATGCAGGGTGAGTCGCCTGATGCGACGCGCTCGAGACCGGAAGTGTGTTGGATCCCAGCATACTTGCACACACAAGTGCCTGACAAGATGTCCTGGGGCTGAGGCCACCTCCAAACACAGAATCCGCCCGTGCTTTGCTTTATGCACGGCATGGAGGCAGTTTTATACAGCATGTTTCAGTGTTCCTTTGTTCTGACTTACCCACCGTGTGACGCCGGGTGTGGAATTTTCCTTCGCCCATGATATTGGCACTGAAAAGTTTTGGATGTTGGAGCATTTCCGTTTTTGCTCTTTTGGGCGGGGCTGATGAGCGTGAAGTGCGGAGCGCCTGCCTTCTGTCCCCTTCCCTCGCTGTTCCATTGTCACCTGTATGCAGCTGCATACCGGTGCTTGCCGTGCAGTGCCGTGCCAAACGTCACACCGCAGAGCTGGGGCAGTGGCTCCTGGGTCCAGCACGGGAAACAGCCCTCACTGACTTGGCCCAGCCAGAGGTAGCCTTTGCAAGAGCCACCACTGCAGCCAGACCCACTCCCTGCTGACCTTTGTCCCTCTGGACTGCCTGTCTTATGTGGCTGCCCCTGGCCACAGGGGCTCTTGGACAGAGTTTAAGGGTCTGAAGACTCAGTGCGGAAGAAAACAGTGTATATATTCACCCCCACGGTCCGGCCTCTCCTTGGTGAGGTGTTCCAGGGTGCTTTGCAGATGCCTGGAATTGGGGAGAGTGCTGAGCTGTGTACATGTTATGTCTTTTCCTGTTCATATATACGGACCTATGGTAAAGCTTGATTTATATATTCGGCACAGAAAGAGATACACAAAGTAACTACCAGTAAGCAGGGCATGCACAGTGACCTGGTAACAAACCTCATTTGGGACTTATGTCTGGAGCTTTGCATGGGATGTTTGCTGACTGACTGGCGGCTCATAAGCCGCAGTTCAGGAAGCAGAGCTTTGGATAAAAGGACAAATGTAGATTGAGAGCTCGTAGAAATAATGGTATTTTAGACACATTAGGGAAAGTAGAATATATTAAAATCAATTTCGGGGTTTGTTACTTTTTAAATTGTAGCTTCTAGAAATTCGTAAAGGTTGCATATGTGGCCGGTGTGTGGTGAAGTGCCTTCCGGGGAGGAGTGGGGCTGTGGCCACAGACCGGCAGCAGCGCCTTCGGGAAGGGCCGTCCCAGCTGTGCAGGGTCATCCCCAGGAGGAGCCCTGGGGGCCGAGGAAGCTGCACGCACCCTTGGATGGCTTGTGCCCACCGCGTCCGCCCTGACCGTCCGCTCTCCCTGCGCCCACCTGGCCTCCACCCTGGCTTCTGCCGCTCGAGTCCTCACAGTAGCCGCTGCACTCCAGGGGTCTGAGCGAGCCGTGGGCCTCCCCTCCTGCCACATGCTTCCTTTGCCCCCTGCTCAGTGACCTCAGCCCCGTGTCAGGGCTTCACACCCCGACAATGACAGTGGCCGGGTTGGAATGGGCTTCCCTGCTCCCTGTGCTGCTGAGGAGCTTGATTTTGTTTTATTATTATTAGTTGTTAAACATCACGGCCCTTTTCCTGCTGCAGGTTTGGGTTTCTGAAATCATTAGTAACAAAAAAATAATAGTTTAGGGCTCTGTGTAAGAGCTTTACTCTGACCCTAAGTGCTTTCTTGGAGTGAGTGTATGGGGGCTGTATAACCAGCCCCCTCTGCCCTCTTCCCGATTTAGTTAAAGTGAGGGACAATGAGCATTACGTTTTACCGCTCTTGTGACATCTTCAGACCTTGTGAATGGAGACGCACGGCTCAGATGCTGTGCCCGCTGTGGCCTGCAGCCCACTTCCACCCCGCTCTCCCAGCCCAGGGCCTTGGTGTGCAGGGGACAGCTGCCACCACTAGAGCCCCGCCCACCTGCAGCCTGCAGCCACAGACTCACGGCCAGTGTTTCTGAGCCAGGCGCAGCCTGAAATCAATAAGCGCAAGGTCAAGACCCCCGCCGTGCCCTTGGTTCACAGCAGTGGTGCGTGTGCCGCTTGCGAGGCAGCAAGGGAAGAACTCTTGGGGGCCGTGTGGAAGAGCACCGCTGGGCATACGGGGGTCGCGGCACCAGCCTCTCCCTCACTGTTCCCCTTGTTAAACACAGCACTGCAAGTTTGGGTTTTGTGTTCCCAAAGAAATGGAGGGCCCAGCGGTTGACGGATCCTGGGGAAGCTGGAGTCCCTATGGCACCTGCTCCAGAACATGCGGCGGGGGCATCAAAACGGCCATTCGCGAGTGCGACCAACCAGAGTAAGTCCCCGGTGGCAGAGGGGAGGGCTTGAGGAGGGGCGGGAAGACCTGGGCTCGGTACCCCAGCTCTGTGTCCCCAGACCCTGCTCTGTGTGACTGTTTTTCTCCCCAGACCCCTGACTGTCAGGTTTGTCCACTGCTTGCTGCCTTTGCCATTGGTTGGCATGTCCCACAGTCAGGCACACAAAGATGGTGTAAAAACATGACATCTTTATTCCTAGCCCCGCCCCTGCTACTCTCCATAAGAAATAATCCCTGAAAAGTAATTTGACGTGTGTCATTGCAGACTTTTAAAAAATTGTGGATATAATATGTATTACATGGCATCGGTATCATGTAATTTAAAATAAGACTAATATTGCTTTTAAAGCTCAACTCCATGTCCTAGCTCTTTGAAGTTTAGAGTCGGGCCCCTTAATCTAACTGCAAATGTGGTAATTTCTTTATAAATTGCAAAACTGGCATCTACATTGAGCAAAATTATTATTGTATAATAAATGTTATATTTCAGATAGCAGGCCTACGAATGTTTTTAAATTTTGATTCAAGGATATTCCATTCAAAAGAAATGTTTAGCACTCTTTTGTGTTAGGATTTTCCCCCTTTTTAGAATCTTAGAGCAGTCCTAAATGTAATGTGGAGAGCTATAAATCACTCCATGATCGGACAGGCTCAACAAGAAAACCACTCGGTGTGACGCTGCCAGCAAAAAGAGTCCTGAGCTTCAAAGCGAAACAGAGACCCTGGCATTCAGAAGTTAAGCACCGAATCATTAAAGCCCTGGAGTAAAGGTCCTCTCCGTGCTGTTCATAAGGGAGGTTTGAAGACAGTCCTGCCCAGAGCCGAGTGTGGGCACCGACATGTGCCATTAAGATGCAACGCCCCCGTCAGTTGCACGTCGGGCTGCCCCGTTAGAGGAGGAAGGGGGTGGGCTCTGAGTGCTGTGGTCACACTGCCTGGGGAGTGTAGAGCGAGAGGGGGCGCAGGGCCAAGAGGGCGAGCAGGCGAGGCCCGGCTCAGTGTGGAGCACAGACAGGCTCGTGACGAGCGAGGTGCGGGAAGTGGCTGCTGCCATCCTGCTGGAGGCAGAGAGCCTCCTTCCTGGGACCCACCTGCCAGGTGACTGGTCCTTAGGGCGCAGTCTCATGCCCCTCTTTTGTGACCCAGGATATGTTTCCAGTAAGATCACTGGATTCTTTCTTTTTGTTTTTTCCACAGAATTGATGTGAGTAGACTTAGTTAGCATCCAGTCATCCAAAGCTGTGTTTTTAGAATGTTTTCCCTTAAAAGCCAAAAAAGCCAAAAAAGCAGCTTTTCTATGTAATGGTGCTATATCATGACCAAGCTGTAGAAACCATGTGCTTTCTAGTCTTGGCCCCCTAGTTTTTTGGACTGAACTGGTATGTAGTGCTACAGATTGGGCCCCAATTTCTTTTTGTCTTTAAATGTTCATTTTTGATTTCCATTTTGATCCATGCCCTACACCAAAGAGGATCGCACGTCTTGGTTCACAGGATGGTCCCAGTTTGTGTCTGTCCCCAGGGAGGTTACCTGCCATTAGCTCTCAGTTTTACTGTCCTGGATTGGACAGTTGATAACATGGCCTCCTGACCCCTAAGAACATGCCGTAGAGTAGAATTTAAAGCATGACCACCAAAGACACAAGCTAGAGTAAGAAAACAAGACCAAGCTCTGGACCAGAGGTGCATCCTCAGGCAGGGGCTCTGGACCTGATAGTTTGGGCTCAGAGTTTGGCTGTGAGCTTCCTGGGGCCTGCAATAAAATGATTTATAGAATTTTTCAGTCCAGTAAAATAGAAAGAAATCACACCAATTCCATATGAAAGACAGAGAATTTCCCTTTTCTAGGGCTTCTATTTTGCTCTTAAATTAGGAGATTGGTTAAATTTAAAAATATAATAAACTCATGAATTTGAGAAAAGAACAGACTGTGAGCTAGACATTTCCCACGTGAGCTTTTACATAGCAACTGCTTGTGAAATCTTTCTTTAAACAACACTGAAGATACATATCTGTTTCATCCAGAATAACAAATTTTATTTTTGGCTGTAAGAATAGAAGCAAAGCTTTTTTTGAAGCAGTTAGTTTGTTTTTCTTTCTTTGTTTCTTTTTTTTTTTTTTTTTTCTGGTACCGGGGATTGAACTCAGGGCGTTTTGCTTGCGAGACAGGTGCCATGCCACCGAGCTAAGTCTCAGGCCCTTGAAGCAGTTAGTTTGGATGAACTTTTTCCCGAATGGAGGAGCCTGTGACTCGTAAGGAAGCGCAGGTCCCCGTCTGCAGACTGCCCTGCTGGACAGGCCTGGTACAGCCCCTCCCCTCGAAGCAAACCCAGAGTGCCTTCAGCACACTCTGTAGTGGCCCTCAGACTCCTCCTCAGGACCTGCAGGCATAGGTCCACTTGTATCATTAGAGATTTCTCTGCTAGCCTAAATCTGCCTTGCCCCATTCACTGTAAATAAATGCAAAAGTTGAGGCCCATTTACAGACCAGCGTTCAGCTTTCTTCATAGGTAGAATACCCCGTGATTAGCCCGTGGTGATCTTTGCAGAGAGAGATTCCTTCCTCACTGCGGCCACAGGCTGTCCCCATTCCCTCATTCTGACAGGCACCGCCGTGCCATGTGCTCGGAAAGGAAATGCCAGCTTGGCTGTGTAAGATAGTAATTAATCTGACGATTGTCTTAAGGCCTTTCCATCCCCATTTAGCACGCAATATCTTTAAAGGATCATACTAGTTGGAAAATGTGGTTAATCTTGCTTTTTAAATCTGGACTTTTTATAACTTTCAGTATTTGCCTAAATGGAAAAAATAGCTACCCAGCTAAATTACCAAATTCTAAGATTAATTTTTTCCATCCTGAAGGTAAATTTAGTTGGCTAAATCTTTCCCTACTGCACAGGACATCCAAAGCAGACAGAACGGACACCATCTAGGACAGGAGGAATACCACACAGTGCAGAAGGGAACATTCGCATTCATTAGGGTCATATGGGTGACTAAGGGAGAAATTATAGTCTGTCTTTACAGAAAAAGCTCATGAAGGCCCAGAACCGGTGTCGGCTCGGGAGAGGCCTGTCTCAAGAGGGTCAGCCTGCAGCACCATCTCGAGCTCCGGCTGGCAGGGCCGGGCGGCTCTCGCCAGCCGCTCCCGTGCGGCCTTGCCTACCCTGTGTGAACCCCACTCCCTTGCCGTGAAACGAGGTGTTCCTGCCTCTCAGCATGGTTGTGGCCAGAGACAGGAACTGCACAGTGGCTCAGGAACACCAGAGAAGCTTAGGACTCAGCCGCCTTTCCGTTGAACAGACCGCGAGTGAATATTGTGGCCTGGCAGGCTGTACGGCCACGCTTGGCCACTCACCTTCCCGCCGAGCGGGCCACATAAAAGAACACTGCGAGTGTGGCTCTGTCCCAATAAAACTGTTCTTTTGCCATGAAGGCAGCGAAACCAGTGTCCCTGCTCCTGCTTCTCCTGTTCTCCTTGCCAGTGGACCTGTGCCCTCCGCCCCGGTTATGTGGGAGAGGGTGGGAGGACAGAGAGAACGGAGGCCAAGGGCACTGGAGGCTGGACCGGTCTCCTGTGAGCAGCTCCAGGCACAGAGCTGCTCCACGCACGGGCCAGGGGCCGCCTGGCACCTCAGTCTGCTTCTTACTTCCCTCCTGTGGGTTTGAAATTGAGGGCAGGGAAGGAAAGTGACCCAGCCAGGATGTGTGTCCGTGCATCTTTCCCCAAGGTGAACGTGAGCACACCGTGCCTTCCCAATGTTCTGGAGTCTGTGGAGGCAGTGCTGAGGCACACAGGCCGGGGAGCGGGGGCAGAAGCACTCTGAGAATCAGGAGCCCCGCCTTGCCCTGGAGAGCAGGGAGTCGGGTGGGAAGTGAGGGGCAGGAACACCTTACGACAGTGTGTGTGTTCTGTGTGTTTTCTCAGGCCAAGACATGGTGGGAAATACTGTGTAGGACGCAGAATGAAATTTAAGTCCTGCAGCCTGGAGCCGTGTCTCAAGCAGAAGCAGGACTTCCGGGACGAACAGTGTGCTCACTTTGACGGGAAGCACTTTAACATCAACGGGCTGCTGCCCACCGTGCGCTGGGTCCCCAAGTACAGCGGAAGTAAGTGCCCCAGGCAGGCCCCTGCCCTGTGAAGGCTGGTGTGGTGCCCAGGCTTCAGGTCACGTGCGGGTTTCTCCTCTAGTCTTGATGAAGGACCGGTGCAAGTTGTTCTGCAGAGTGGCTGGGAGCACGGCCTACTATCAGCTCCGGGACAGAGTGGTGGATGGGACTCCTTGTGGCCAGGATACGAATGATATCTGTGTCCAAGGCCTTTGCCGGGTGAGTTCCAGAGTCTTTTCCTCAATGCGCTGCCTGCTGCCACCATGGGGCTTGTGGCTTTCTTGGTAGAACAGCTGTTGCTCCTATTCGTATTTCCCAGGCCTGGTTCTCAAAGTGTGGCTCCGGAACCATTCTTAGCATCAGCATCACCTGCTCTGATGCACCTGGTACCATAGTTTGAGAACTGCAGCCTAGACATTTCTTGATGTTTTCAGCCTCTGGGTGGGTCTGCTCAGAACCCCCAAAGATGAGCTGCACCGATGTACGTACACACCCACGTATCTGAATGCTGCAGATAATCCCGCATGCTTCCTGACAGCAAGTTCCTAGATTGAACAGCTGTGCTCTACAAAGAGGTCAGGAGGAAGACGGGCCCTCACTCAGATCACCCACAGCTCAACCTGAGATGCCTCTAAGATGCCTTTTAGTTACTCTTGGAAGATAATTGAGACGTTTCTGGCAGGTAGCAAAGCATCGGAGCAGGGATTCCTCACGGGCTTGATACTCCTCTGCTGTTCTCTCTGTCAGAATTCATTGCGGAAATGTCCTTGTCAGTCCAGTCACAGAAGCTTGGTGGTTTCTCCTCCACGATTAGTTCACACAGAGGAACAGAATGGACAAGCACGTGGGCCCTCTTCTCTCGGCCTTTTGTCATTACTGAAGTCCTCCTGGACCTCACTGTACTACACTAGTCCTGTAGGTGACGAAATGCCAGAGGCAGGTGACCAAGCAGAAGGCTTCAGACTGACCACCTGCAGTCACACTGTGCCACTGAAACATGGAGGATTCACATATAGTCACATTTCCCTGCCTCTCCTGAAAAGCTAGAACATATCAACGCTGGGCATCTTTGGCTGGATAGCAGCCGTAGCTACAGTGGCCCTGGGATAAGGCGTGCGCTCTTTAGCTGGATGCTGTCCTCACCACCCTCCCCCTTGGTTTAGCCTGTTTTCATTCCATGGCAGCTTTTCTCATTTACTCCTATTATTTGTAGCCGAGTGCTTCTCAGACTTCATCCGCAGTCGGCTTCAGTAGATCCAGTGGGTCTTGAGATTTTATCTTCCTGGCCAGCATCCAGGATGCCCATGGCTACTGCTGCAAGGACCACATTTTAAGTAGCAAGGATGTAGACAATTTGGATTCTCAATCGACCCTTGCAAGTTTAAGGGAATATTGCTTTCTTTTTTTGTCATTTTGAATGCAGAGCATTGAAAGAAGTACATTACTGCCATTTTATTTTCTCTAACTATGATCATTTATTCCAAATATTTTCTTTTCAAAAGCAAGCTGGATGCGATCATGTTTTAAACTCAAAAGCCCGGCGAGATAAGTGTGGAGTGTGTGGTGGTGATAATTCTTCATGCAGAACTGTGGCAGGAACCTTTAATGCCGTGCATTACGGTAAGACTCTCCTCCTAAGACCGGGAGGATGAAGAGTTTAAAGTTTGTCAGCCACATGTAATATGTGAAAGTATTAACATCCAGTGTCATATCATTCTTGCTGCGTGTATTGCATTATCTGTCTAGCTCAAAGGCACCTAGCAGTGAGAATTGTGTGCCTTTGCTGCTTACTTTCTGTTCTGTTCTTAAAGAGAGTGAACCGAGACATGGAGAGCTGACCCTCTGCTACGTTCCCTCCAGGTTACAATACCGTGGTCCGAATTCCAGCTGGTGCTACCAGTATTGATGTGCGGCAGCACAGCTTCTCAGGGAAATCCGAGGATGACAACTACTTAGGTGAGTCGGGATGCCCCGCCGTCTACCTGTGGTCTGGCTTTCCGGAGCCGTCTGCTCACTGCCACTTCTCCGCTCTTTGGCATGTGGCAAGCTCTCAGTTGTCATGGCTCTCACAGATGCTGATGTGAAATCATTATTTTATTTCACTCTCACAACTACACCCTCAGAATATTGACCCAAGGGTTATGTTACTGCAGTATTAAATATCAAGGGATTCACTCTGGATTTTACAAAATAGAAAGGCCCCAATTCACATTTTCAAAGTACTTGCAGATTAGCATAAAATCACTGCTCTCAGTGGGTCTTTTAAAAAGCCTGTCTGGTGGGTGACTGACTTGCAGCCGTTTTCGTAGAGGTATGGCTGGGCTTAGTTCTCCAGTTAGCAGCTGTCACCAGGAGCAGGCCACAGGCAGGCCTTCTGAGTATTTCATTCTGCCTGGTCATTCTGAAAGAGTCTATGGTAGCACTTTTCTCAAGTCGTTCCTAGAGCAGCCGCCTCTGTTATTATACAAATTCTTCATCTCTCTCTGGATCAATTCATATCTAGCCCTTATTTTTAATCACATAACTAATTCATATCTGTACCTCATGTTTAAACCTCAGCACACCAAGGACCCTGTGTTGGTTTTTGGCTGTTTGCCCAGTCCGGTCTCCACTTCGGTGCATTATCTTCTAAACTGCCAACGTGCTCATGGAGTTTGTCTGCTGCCCTTTGCAGAAAGAAAGGACGTGGGCACCGCTGGGATGATGGGCAGGGACGCAGTGTGTCGCCTTGCATACACGTCTCCTCCCTGGGAGGCCTGGGCAGGGCTGGTACCCAGACCAAGAAGAAGTCGGGGAGTCTTGGAGAGCAATCAGTCTCTGGAGAAGCCGGTGGGCTTTCTCTCTTGAAGTGTCCAGGTGGGAGCTTGGTTTACCCATCTGAACACAGCCTAGTGAAGGCTCAGCCCTGGCATTTGGACACTGCACTGGTTAGTGGGCATTTGTCAGCTCAGACAGAGCCTACGTCTGTGTCCCGAATGTCCGCGTGGCTCACGCACTGACAGGGTGACCCTTTAGCCAAGTGTGCCAATGAACAGTAATAGTCACACCCTGCTCCGGGGTGGCGTTTTCTGCTGTATGTTACCTTTCTTTCCCTTATGTAATGTGCAGTAGCATTATGTTAGGCACAGTGAACAAAACAGATGAAAAACAAAACAAAAAAAATGAAAAATCCTTGTCTTCTCAGTACCACCCCCACCCCCTTTTCGTACTGGGGATTGAACCCAGGGCCTTTACAACTGAGCTTCCCTAGCCCTCTTTTTTATTTTGACTGGGTTTCATTGAATCATTAAATTGCCCAGGCTGGGCTCAAACTTATGACCCTCCTGCCTCAGCCTACCAGAGTGCTGGGATTACACATGTGAACCACCAGCCGAAGTAATACTTTTTCATGGGAGGAAACAGTAATTTAACAGGCAAACTCTGTACTGTTAGAAGGTGATAAGTGGTATTGGAAATCGGAACGCCATGAAGGAAGTTGGGATACCAAGGATGGAGTGGGGATTGTAGAGTCGAAATGTTCGAAATAAGAGAAAGAATGATGACGGGCAGAGGTTAGAGCGGTCGCCGAGTCTGAAGCAGGAGCATGTCTGATTGAAGAGCTGAGGGAGGTCAGGGTGGCTGTTGCTATTTGAGAGTAGTGGACATTCCTAGATGCCCTGCAGCTGATAGGAGAGATCCTGCCCCCGATGTGAGGACTTGGGCTTATATGCGGAGAGACAACGGGCACTTCTGCAGCTCTGAGTCAGGGAAGGACTCGATGCGATCATGGTTATGTTTTGGAACAGTATTATGGCATCACGTTGTGCCCAGGTAGTGGGGAAGGGTGTGAGTGGAGCAGCAGTGCTGCCCGGGACGTCATTCTAAGAACCTGAGAGACAGAGGGAATGTGCAGGTGGCAATGTATGGCAGATTCAGGTATCGTGTACAACTGGAGCCATCGTGGCTTGCTGAGGAAGTGGATCTGGTGCATAAAGAAAGAGGAGTCCAGGCTGTTTCCGAGTGAAAGAGAGTCAAAGACTCTGAGGTTTTGACCTGAGTGATGACAAAGGGCGTTGTCATCCCGAGCGTGAAGGCTTGACACGTACTCTCCATGTGACTGCTGGTGCTTTACGATCAGGGCTGTATCTTTGCGTCTTCAGCCCCTGGTACGAGCCCTGTGTGAAACAGGCACTGAAGAAACAATCGCTGGACTGTTGAGCAGGCATCCTCCTGCTGTCCTGGCTGAGAGCCTCCTATGTGCTTCATGGGGAATGGAGTCACCTTGGAGATACAGATTGTCCCTTCTTTCAAAGGCCGTGTAGTCTCACTTGTATTTGCTGCTCCATGGCTGTCTCAACCCTAAATACCCAAAGGCGTGCCAACTTCCTAAGAGACAGGGCTGGCGGTGACGTGAGTGTCAGAGTGTGTGCTTAGCATGCACAGGGCCCTGGGTGCAATCTCAGCACCACATACAGAAGACTTGAAATAAAATTAATGAAGTTCTTGGGAACCATTTTCTCATTGTTTGGGGGATCCCACATTTTACATTTCTCCATTGTATTAAATGGGTCAAACATTGTACCCATGCACTTGGTTATAAATTTGAGCATGTGTTTGCATGGCCTTACTACTTCTTGATTAAATCAAGCATCATTACATACAGTCTTTGTTATAAATTAATGTCCCAAGAGCTGGAAGCTATGCTTTTCTTCTCCTCAAAGGAAGAAGGATTCCCTTCTATTCTTCTCCTTGGGAAAAAAATCTCCCTCCGAGTAGTGGCCTTAATTCATTTCTACTTAATCAGGCTGTGTCAGGTACCTGCATTCAGGGAGGGCCCCTGGTAACCTTTTATTCTTCACTGGAGGTTTCTCAATCTCCTTGTAAGAATGAGAACAGAATCAGAGATTTGTCATCTGGGACAGGTGGCCTGGGCCATTCATGGCTCTTTCCTGGAGTACTACGGGAAAGTCACCTGCCAGCCTGCCACCGTCTGGCTAGCAGCAAATGTGACCTGTGCACAAGTGTGGGGAGCGAGTCACAGTCCTCGGAGGGAAACCCGAGTGTGAAAGTGGTTGCGCAAGAGGCTAGGAAGAGCGTGGTGCCCTCCAGTGCAGGTGTGCGAATGTTTACCCGGCGCCTGAGGCAAGGTGCAGCCCACACCCCACCCTGGCCTGGCACTGGCACTGTGGCTAAGCCAGCTCTCTCCTTCCCCAGTGGCCGTATAAGGCCCATTAGCCATGCTCTTCTGGTGCATCTTGCAGGAGAGGCCTCTGCAGAACCCAGTCTGGTGGGTGCAGCGGTGGGGGGGGGGGGGGCAACCCAGGAAATTAGCTCCCTAATCGCATTAGCAGGAGACTGAGCAGGAGGCTCTCGTTTCAGGAAACTATTTGTTTCACAAGGTACCGGAGCAGAAAGTCTGCTGTCAGAGCCCCCTCCCTCCCAGTGGGCTCCAGCCCAGTTGTCCCATGGCCGCCATGTGCGTCTCTTTCGGAGAAAAAGTAGCCCTCTCGGTGATGCTTATTTGCCTCCGGGACACTTAACCCCTGACGAACTGTGGCAGTGGCAAGGTGGGATCGATCAGGGGCAAAGCAGCAGGAATTTCCTTGCATCTGATGACTTTATAGATACCTAGGCCTAAACTATTTCTCAGAGCAATCCTGGGAGGAGCCTCCCCATTGAGCTCTGTCCCCCGCTCCCCACCTTTACCTGGGAGAAGGAGCATGGGGAGGGGAGGCGGAGTCAGCACACGCATGAGTGGGAGCCTGGAGCAGACCCCAGGATTAACCCGAGCAGACCCAGGAATCTGAACAACACTGGATTTTCACTTAGTTTACAGACCTGCCACGTAACATTCTGTTTCCCCCTCAGGCGACGTGTCAGGTGGGTAGCTAGCATGCCGTTGAACTTGAAAGAATCCGGTGGTTTTGTTGAAAGCATGTCACCGTGTAGTGACCAGCCCTGGGCTGTCTGAGCCTCGGAAACAGCCTGTCTCCCCTCAGTGACCCAGGGAAGCTCTGCCTCAAGATCGGCTGTGGGAGCTTCGGGCAGAACAGAGCAGGGTTGTCCGAGGTTTACGTGGCCTGGGAAAGCCATTCGGCTGCCAGTCCCGCTCCGTTCCCCTGGTCACAGGTCTCAGCTTTAACCAGTCATCAAATGAGTGCCTACTAAGGGTTGGGGTCTTTCTTGAGTTTTCAAACAAAAGTGAACTTTTAAATGATTTCTTTACTAAAAACCTCTTGCAGTCTAGCAAATGAGGGCTTTAAATTTGCAAAGCTCTGGAACCTAAACATATTTGGTTTCTATTTGTGCACAAAAGACTGCCTGAGCTCCTTTTTTCATCTAGTGCACATTTGCTGAGTCCCTTGGAAAATGTTAGTGGTGAGCAAGCTCTAGAGACAGATTTTCACGATTAGAAGACACCTGGCCTGGGAAAATTAATTTGAATCTTTAAATTATGCTGTTCTCAACCATGGCGTGGGCATCTTTACTGGACCCGACCTCAGAGAGGTGTGGTAAGGAGACACTGGCCTGACGGGGTGCACACGCTGAGGGACCCGCCAGGAGAAGGAGCAGCTTTCTTAAAATGGAACCAGAAGTTCGTAGTAAATACTGGAGGGAGAGAATGTAATTGGGATTTTACTTTGAGAAAATAATCAAAAAGCATGAAGATCAGTGTATTTTGTCTTATGTTCTGTTTCAATTTTGACCACGCCAGTTTTTAGAATGGATAATAAAAAAACCATGAAATAGTTTTGCATATGTTTTCCAGGGGGGTTGTATCTTAGGAAAGTAGTACTTTCTTCAGTTGAAATGTGAATTCAAACTCTGAATTCCGAAACTCGGAGCGGGAGTCGTTTAGCGAGGGCTCTGTGGCTTTCTTACCTCGGTGGTCTTGAGCCTTTCATATGTGAATTTCCCCTTGGAGGCAGCTGTTGGCTCATCCTCCATGTCAAGTTTCTTTCCATTCTTTATTTTTTCACTTGTTGTGAGGTATATTTAACAGCTGAAAACTGTATATATTTGAACTGTACAGCTTAACATTTTGATACACCGATACATTGCAAAATAATCAGACTTAGCGTCTTCTGGAGCAGTTGCCGTCTTCTTATGTCTGTGTGAGGGAGCGTAGGCCTTTCGGGCCTGCTCTCCTACCGAGCAGTCATGTGCGGTGCAGGACGCTCTTGCCGTTCATCCCCCACGACTCGGTCTTTGTCCCTTTAGGCACACTTCTCCCCTCTCCCCTCCTTCCAGCCCCTGGTGACCGTCGTTTCTGATTCTAGGACTTTTACTCTTTCAGACCACAATTCATCTGCTTTCGTCAGGTCCTCATTTAGCCAGGGGCTTCACACTTGCTTCAAGCAGTTTTCCAACATTTCTTTTTCACCTTCGTTGATTCTTTCATCTTTTGCAAGATTTACAGCAGGTTCATTCAGTCTTAAAAACTAAGTGTTTATTGAACACCTACTCCCATGCTCAGTAAGAAATAGATACACTTGTGAACGAAGCAGCGCCAGCTTACCTCAAGACATGGTGGCTTAGGGTGGCAAATGTGTACGTCAGTTTCTCACATCAGGAATTTGGGAGTTTGGGCATGAGGGCTGGCGTCAGGGCACCGTCCTGATGGCAGTCAGGGCTGTGGTGTCATCCAAAGGCTGGACTGAAGCTGAAGGACCCAGTTCCTGATGATGAACACAGAAGCTCTGGGTAAAAGCCTTGGTTCTTCACCCCTGGCTGCCAGGGCCTTTACATGGGCACCTTCCCAGCCTGGCCACTGGCCCGGCTTCCCCACAGCCAGAGACTAGGGCAAGCAAGGGAGCCACCGTGTCTTTGCTCTGGCCGGGGAAGTTGCCCCAGCATGTCGTCAGCACTCCGGTGGCTTCACTGTCAACCTCCCTGGGGCGAGAGGGGAGGGCAGAGCAGGAGAGAGGGAAGCATCGTGGGTCATTTTTCAGACCTGCAGGGGCCTCACGGGGAGGTGACAGGAGACCATCAGATTGACCTCGTAGTTTCAGATTTCATCATTGGGCAAGGAAGACTTGACAAAGACTCAACAGTTCAACTAATTGTGACATGTGCAGCTTTATGTATTTACGTGGGGACCGGTTGTGTGAGTATTCAGTTCTTTGGGATACATTTTCAAGCCAAAATGCTTTTGCTTGCATCTGTAATCCTGCAGTGTGGCCCGTAACAAAGGCCGGGCTCACAGTCTGATAACGCTGTGTTACACTTACTTAGCTTCCACAGGCACCATCTCGCTCTGCTTTACAAGTAGAGCTGGAGACAGAGACGGAGAGTGACTTTTCGAGCCACACAGCTGGCAAGGGGCAAACCAAGAGTGAGCTCATGCTTGCTGGACTTGAAAGTTCCTGAGCCTTCAACCTCTGCCTGTCCCAGGGCCCTTCATGCTCCACACGGCTGGTCACTAGCAGACGATCAGCAGGGTATTTTCTCATCCACAGCTTTGTCAAGCAGTAAAGGGGAATTCTTGCTAAACGGGGACTTCGTTGTCACAATGTCCAAAAAGGAAATCCGAATCGGGAAGGCGATGATTGAGTACAGCGGCTCTGACAACATAGTGGAGAGAATTAACTCCACCGACCGCATTGACCAAGAGCTTGTGCTTCAGGTAGAAATCTGGCCACGAGCCACGCCCCTCCCTCCCTCCTGGGATGCAGTCCGCAGACCTCTGTCCATCTGCCCCTGCTCCCCAGGTGCTGTCAGTGGGGAAGCTATACAACCCCGATGTGCGCTACTCGTTCAACGTCCCGATTGAAGGCAGACTGCAGCAGTTCTACTGGAATAGCCGTGGGCCCTGGCAGGCCTGCAGCAAGCCCTGCCAAGGTATCTGCCTGGAGCTGCAGGTTTGGGGACGCGGGAGCTTTCTAAAGCTTTCTTTTTCTTTCTTTCCTTTTTCAGAACCCCACGTGGATGTAATCTGTACACTTTCCACCTGCCTGATTCCCTAATGTCCTCTCTTTGACCCTGTCTGGCCACTAGGGCCTGGCAAGTTGAACTTATCCTAAGAGGGTTGTACTCACGTGTGAAGCCAAGCAGAATCAGCTCCGCCACTTTAATTTCCCAGAGATGTAGCTTTAGCCATCACAGTCTAGGATATTTATTTTGTTTCTTTTAATTAAATTACGGTCAGCAGACGATAGCCGTGGGCCAAAGCCCAACCTGCCATCAGCCCTACAAACAAAGTGTTAGTGAAACACAGTAGCCAGGCACCTCCTGTGCAAAGGAGGTGTTAGTGACACACAGCCACTCTGTCATGCCTCTGTACCATCAGCGGGCAGCTGCTGCGGCCCGTGGTGGCATCGTTGAGAAGTGTGATGGAAGTGCCCATGAAACTGAAAATGCATACTGCCTGGCCTTGTGTAGGCTGTGTCTGCCAGTGCTTGGTCTAAATAATTTGTGACCTAGGTCATTTTCTCTGAATAATTTTTACCTTCTCTGCTCAGGGGTGCGGAGACGGAAGCCTGTTTGCACCAGGGAATCCGACCAGCTTCCTGTCTCTGATCAGAGATGTGATCGGCTGCCCCAGCCAGAGCCCATCACAGAGGCCTGCGGTACGGACTGTGACCTGAGGTGAGGTGTGGCGCCCCACCCTCGCTCTGAGGGGAGGGTCTGCAGGTGCACATCCGCAGGAGGAGCTGGTTTTGGTCGTCCTTCCTTCCACTCCCACATGTGCGTCAGCCAGCTCTCCACTCCCCTGGAACCCATCAGCCAACACGCGCTGGGGGGTTTCCTGATCTCCTAAGAATCAAAAATGGTTCATTAGGGCCGGGAATGTAGCTCAGTGGCACCGTGCCTGCCTCACAAGCACAAGGTCCCAAGTTCAATTCCCGGTACCAAAAAAAAAATGGTTCATTAGAGTATGACACTGCCAGAGAAATTCTCATCCAGCCCTCTCAGCTCAGTGGGTAGATGCCAGCCCCATGATAGAGTCGTATCTTAGGCGATAGTTTGGTTTGAAAGCCCACAGAGAAGGGGGAAACTGGATCCCTGTGTGTGCCCATAATGGTTTGTGTCCATCCAGAGTGCACAGCGACCAGCAGCGGGCTGTCAGACACACAGCAGCTGCAGTGCACTAAGGTACTGTCACGGAAAGAACGGAAGGAGATCTATATGTGAATCCCTAGGTAGCCCAGCGACTCTCTGTAAGGGAAGCATGAAGTCTGGGGCAGGAGTTCTGAGTGAGTGCTTTCCCATTGCCTGCAAGGTTGACGGTGGCACGGTTAGGCACGTGAAAGCCATGGGAGGGGAACGCAGCAGGGGGGTGCTGCTCCGTCCAGCTACAGAAGAGAGCCGGTCAGCACCGTGGCAAGGGGACGGGAACGGCACCTAAGCAATGCAAAGGTCCGTGTCAGCAGGGAGGGTTTGCTCGCTGCCTGCAGTGCTGGGGCATCCATCATCAGGCCCCTGAGGCGCTCCGAGAACAGAAGAGTTCTGGGATCCATTAGTCATGTCTGCTGAGGGAGTCGAGGTGGCACTTGTAACACGTGTGCCATAGCTCTGCCAGCCCTCACCTGAGATTCTGACTCAAAGCCAGGACCTTCCCACCCACCACCCTTCCTCTGCCCACTGTCACTGACTTGCTTGCTCACTGGCTCGCCAAAAAGTCATTGTTAAGTTGGCGTTTTCATTGTCAGATTGACAAGTCATTGTTTAAACAAAAAATGACATTAAAAGGTAAACATTCATACTGACACTGGGCAGTATTCTTGTTCTGGGTAGTGTACATATAAATCATTTGCTTAAGCCAGTTGAGTTAAATTAGAACTAAAGGTTCTTTCAGTAAAAAATAGTCAATGGGTAAAATAAATTAGTCACTCAAGTTTAATGGGATAGAACTGAATTGGTTAATATGTTCCTTGAGATACTCCATAAATTGAGAAAGGTGGCCTTTTCAGATTAGTCCTATATATCCACTCAGGATTGTGTCTCCCCCTCTGCTGTGAAAGTAGTAATTGAAGCCAGCCATTGTCTAAGATTTTAACAGTTATGTGTCATCTTTTTAACATTCTCATATTAATAGGATAGCTTTTATATATTTTTTTTTCAGTACCTGGGATCGAACTCAGGGCCTTGCACTTGCCAGGCAGGTGTGGCCCCATTGAGCTACATCCCCAGCCCTGTAGGATAGCTTTTATATTATTCTATTGTCTCATACATATTATACTATCCATTTCTCAAACAGTGCCATGATAGAAGCATTACCACCATTTTTACAATAAGCAGAACAAAAACAGGGCTGACAGAAGCTATCCAAGCAGCTCAAGGTCACACTTCGGTGTGGCGCAGCTTTAAGTGGTCCATGACACCCAGCCTCTGAGCTCCCTGCCGACGAGGCTGTCTCCATTCTCAGCGCTCCCAGAACCTGTTCGGCGTGGCTTTTCCTCCTCTGTGAGAAGGACTCGTGCCCACCAGTCTGTGCCCGCCGTTTCCTGCCTCCTGCCCCTTCTCCCTTACCTGGTGTTTCTCCCCCAGCTGAATCGGCCCCAGCTGGCCCAGTCTCAGGGGCAGCTGCCAGTGCTGTGGGCCCGCTGCCCACAGTGTGCGGCCTGCTCCGGGGCTGGCAGAGGAGGCGAGTCTGTGCAGAGCCTTTCGAGGAACACAAGGTGACCATTGAAAACCAACAGCGCTCCTTCAGTTACCCTCAGGAGCACCAGGTCCAGCGGAGATAATGTTGCACTGTTATTGCACTGTTACTTGGAGAAGCTAACGTTTTCCCTGCCAGCAGATTCCAGGGAATTCGAGATGGTGCTGGCTCACTTGATCCCTGGAAGCCTTCTCAAATGGCTTTCTCTGCACTGGTATTTATGCAGTTATGTGATGTTTAAAATCTGTTTGGAGAGTGAAACACCAAGGACAATACTAAGGCATAATAGTCGAGGCTGCTTTTCTCGAGTGTTTGTCCTGTGTGTCAGATGCTGTGCATGCCTCAGCCCGCCTGATCACCATAACCCGGTGAGCTAGGCGCTGCTCCCTTCATGGCAGTGTGGAGCCAAGGCTCTGAGTGGAGCAGCTCAGCTTGGTCCCCACATGGCCGGTGCAAGAGTGCATGGCCCGGTCCAACCCCTCGGGGCCACCACTTGCCCAAGGGGAGCCAGGGCTAAGTCCTCTCGCTTCATGTAGCACCTTTGTCAGGTGTGCTAGTCTAAACTCCATTTGGAGAAATCACAGTTTAAAACACGTTTAAACTCTACCGAGACCAAATGAGGATGGCAGCTCAGAGCGCAGGCCTGAAAGTGTGGCCCGTTTCTCTGCCGAAGGAAGGCAGAGGAGGAGCGACCACGCCTTTTCCTAGAGGAGTCAGGGAGTGGTGTAGGAATTAAAAAGTGAAAGGAGAAAAGGAAGAGTTTAGGGTTATCTTTCTTCTAGCTCCTCAGTGCTAGACAAGGAGATGCTCATACCTAAAATTAAACAGAAGGTCCTGGTATTTTGTCAACACTCAAACTCACATTGCTGGCTTTATAGACTGTTGGAAAAATGAAGTTGTTTACTGAAAAATGTACAGGTACAGACCAAGGCTAAAGAAGGTGTCCTGGCTCTGTACCGTTACCTTGACAGACAGAATAACCTTGCTCACTATTGTCCGGTGGCTTACATGCAGACCTGTAAGACAGGGAGGACTGTTACTAATCGGTCAACTCTGTCCTAGTTTTTCCCCAAGTGTATCTGTGGATCAGTAGTTCTGCTAGGTGACCCTTGGGAAACCAGTGTGAGAAGCTGCACTAAACATCCCCGCATGTGGAGATGCACACTGCTGAGAGTTCTGAAGGCTCTGAGAAGATCTACAGTGTAGAAGCCGATTTGATTCAGTAGTTCTTGGAGTCATTTATTCCCACAGCACTGCACACCCCACACACAAACATGACCACACATGTCTCCTCCTTCCACTTGCTAACAAACACATTGAGATACGCTTTTCTGAAATATAGTCATTAAATGCAATTAGATTTTATTTTCCATGAAATGAAATAATGAACTCAAAACACAAGATCTCTGTCCTGAAAGAGACATGAACAACGGGCAGTAACATTTGGAGAAGAATTTTCTAAGGCAATGCATGGCCTTTCCTGAAAGTCTTCTAGGTTCTCTGCTTAGATTCTGGGGTTGTGTGAACATCAGGGAAATGATTTTTGCAGCCCTGCTGCCTGCTGGGGTGTTGTCTTGTGTGGGCAGGGCGCCTACCTCCCTTAGCCCGGATGGAAAATAACATTTCCACAGGACAGCAGTGACGAAGGCTAACAAGGCAGCCAAGAAAAGGCACAGATGAAAGTTCCAGATGCCTCTCTTGAATTGGTCCATATTTTTGCCTCATTTCCTTCAGGAAGTGAGAGTTTGCCTTGATTAAACTGTGACAGGATGAGATAAAGCATTGGTTTACAAGCCCTCATGTACGTGTTCCGGATTAGAACAAAATCCCACTAATGCTCTTTCGTTTCTAAAGAACACTCTCCTTGGCCCACTTCAATGGCAGTGGTCACCTCTGACCTACTTTGGGGCATTCCTGAGAAATGCCATGGCATCGCGTGGTCAATATTCCTCTTTTTACACCCACGTCCTCCTGCTGACTGGTGTGCATGGAAAAACTCTTCAAACGTTGGAAGTGAGAAAAGCACTCAATTTCTGAGCAGTAGAGAATTAACAATCAAGAGTAAAATCAAATGAAGATTATAAGAAATTATCTTTGGGGCTGGGGATTTAGCTCAGTGGTTTTGCCGCCTGCTGTGCAAGCGCAAGGACCTGAGTTCGATCCTCGGTACCAAAAAAAAGTGGGGCCGGGGATTTAGCTCAGTGGTTTTGCCGCCTGCTGTGCAAGCGCAAGGACCTGAGTTCGATCCTCGGTACCAAAAAAAAAAAAGAAATTATTTTTTATGGATTGGTAAATCTAATTGACCAAACATATTTCAAGTTCATCTGTTTAGACTGTTCCACTTAAGCATTTTATTTACTTTCTTTTTACATTTCAACACTGCCATCCCTGTTCCTGGGGCATTGAAAGAACTAGACAGTTGGCCAGCAGATACTGAACACTTACTGTCTGTGAGAAAGTTTCCTCATAGTTTCCTCATAGCTATGTGGGCTTTAAGGGAGATGAGGATTTGTAGAGTAAAATCTAACTTTAAAAGTCTGTACATTTTATAAAAAATGGTTCATATCTTCAAGGAATTTAGAGACTTTATGCAGAGGTAATAATGCACACAAAATTTAGCACACTTGAAGTCCAAGTCCCATTCTGTCATTAATTCACAGAGCATCCCTACCCGAGCACTTTCTAGTGCAGGACCACACCACAGAGGGCTCCCGGGCTGAGCTTTGGAGGCTTCTCCATTCAAAGCCAAATCAAGTGTTAGATTACATGAGCTTTTAAATATAAAATTGCTGCTCCTTTGCTCTGTTAAATTCCATTTTTTTCTTTTTGGTTGCTTGAATTTCAGATCGACGGTATCAGAGAACCATTAGAGATAGGACCTCTACCTCCCACCCTCTGACTTCCATGTACACTGGCAGCCATGAAGATTGCATGGATGCATTGGTTTAAAATTGCACCTTAGTAACTGTGGCTTCCAGCTGCGTGGTGTTTGAGTTAAGGAAGAGAAAAGGACCCCCCTGTCCCATGGTTGGACAAGGCATGCACGTCCCATAGGAATGTTGCTTTCTCCCCGCTGTTTGCTCACAGGTGGCACGTGGGTGGCAGGAGCGAATGCAGTGCCCAGTGTGGGCTGGGCTACCGCACGCTGGACGTCTACTGTGCCAGGTACAGCAGGCTGGATGGGAAGACGGAGAAGGTGGACGACAGTTTTTGCAGCAGTCACCCCAAACCAAACAACCAGGAAAAGTGCTCGGGCGAATGTAACACAGGGGGCTGGCGCTACTCGGCCTGGACTGAAGTAAGCTGGATCCCACTCAGAGCCTTCACAAGCGCTGAGTCTGTTAGTCTGATCCCTGCAGGATTGTGTTAAGATACCTCGATTTAGGCTGTATGGAAAAGAAATCCATAATTGGTTTATAATGGCCAAGCCTGCTCAGGCTCTGCAGGGAAGAACCCCATGATTGACTTGTAATGTCTGGCACAACCTGACGTGTGGAAAATTGGGATTGATTAAACTGATCACCAGCTTTTCTGTACCTCATAAGCCATGTCCAACTTTATTTTCCTGAGCCAGCAATGTAAACCTGGTAAATAAACTGGTGGCATGAAAAGATCTCCCCAAAGTAAAAACTAGTTTGCCAAGAGTGAAGATTGGTTCCTACGGGTTGCAAGAGACAGCATAGCCAGGAGCTTGAGCTCACTGTATGAGAAACTCAGCAGTGGTTCTGTTTAATTTGTTGTCCTTATAGTGTTCTAAAAGCTGTGACGGCGGAAGCCAGAGGAGACGGGCTATCTGTGTAAACTCCCAAAATGACGTCCTAGATGACAACAAATGCACCCACCAGGAAAAAGTCACCACTCAGAGATGCAACGAGTTCCCCTGTCCACAGTGGCAGTCTGGAGACTGGTCAGAGGTGAGGGGGGCAGCTGTTCCCGAGCTCGTCGCAGATGCAGATGAAGGGTAAAGCTGCCGACCCTTTCTCCCTGCTCCACTCGGGGAAGCAGCAGCCCCTGCTCCCCCCCGCACCGTGCCTGGGACACGGCTGGGAGCAGCCTCCTGCCGGAGAGCCCAGAGTCTGAACCGCCCAGCACTCCAGCTTCTCAGTTCTGCTCCTTCCTCACCTCGCCACCTCTGAGCACTAGCTGATTGAAAACCGGGGCTTTATGGATCCAAAAGCCAAGCTAACTTGAAATCCGTGTGAAGTTTCCTACTTCCTCTTTGGAAATAAGAGGGTTTGGGGCCGGGGATTTAGCTCAGTGGTTTCACCGTCTGCTGTGCAAGCGCAAGGACCTGAGTTCGATCCCCGGTACCAAAAAAAGAAAAGAAAACCACGGAATGGAAATAAGAGGGTTAGACTGCAGTGAGTGACCCTTGCTACGTAGGGATCCAGTCAGTGGGGGAAACTTGGACAAAAGAGAAAAGGACAGGCTGAGCATTCCAGACTCAGGGCTTTTTATCCCTGACTGTGAAGCACCAGGCCACGCCTGTGTTGCTTATGCCCCAGGGCAGGGGGGAGAGGCAGAGCCTGTGTCTGTCTTGGGGTACAGGGCCACACTCGCTGTTAACAAGCCCGTGTGGACACAGCACACCGAGCTTGCCACGAGGGGGGAGACTCGTTCCCTCTCCTTCCAGGCTGTTGACCAGCCGAGTTGGGAGTGTGGGCAGAGAAGTCCCAGCCCCAGCTACTCACTGCCCTGTGCCCCGCCTGGCCCATGTAAATGCCACATTAACTGTTCACCGCCAGCATCCGGGCTACCCATGGGAGGGTGGTATGGGAGAGGCAGCAGGGCCTGTGGCTGGCGGGCCGAGTCCTGGACAGATCAGCACTGGTGCTTGGGTGCCAGGTTAGACTCTAAGACAAAACAGGGTGGTGGGTTTAAATTTTACTTGGAAAGTTGATACTAGTTGAAGTGTCATTTCAAATTAAGTAGCAAACCTTTGCCAGAATACTCCATGAAATGTGGGTGGGGAAGATCAGACTAAACCCAGGATTCGAGATCCCTCAGGTACCAAGGCTGGAGAGACAGCAGCGCAGTGTTGCTAGCACTCACCCTTGAGTAGTGAGAGTTTGGATTATTATAACTTCATCTTTTGTGTTCGTTCTGTATTTTTCAAATTTTCTAAAACGAGCATGAACGATAATTATGGTTATATTTAACAATTTTTTGAATGGAATTTGTGTTAAGCACATTCCTTGGGGTTTTTTTTTCAGTTAGTTTTCAAAGCCCTTTGCAGTAGACACTAAGTGTCCTCATTTTACAAGAAAATGAAGGCACAGAGAGGCCACATAGCTTGGTTGTATAGGGGACAAAACCCAAGTTGATTTGACTCAGAATTCCGCAGACTTAACCCCAAATGCTAGAAAACCATGACCGTTGTTTTTCAGTGTGTTGGAGCATGGTGCTCTGTTGACTTTATGTTTTATTTGTAACTGGCTCGGAATCTAGGAATGCAGAGAGAAAAGGAAAGTGAGCAGGAGGAGGAAGGAGGGGGGGGGTGCATTCCCCAGTCCCTGTGGGCCAGGGGCACTCTTGTGGGAAAAGGCACATCTGTCCCTGCTAATCAGCGAATAACCGCACCAAACCCGCATTGATCAGAAACACCTGGTGACTCTGCTTTTTGTTACAGTGCTTGGTCACCTGCGGGAAGGGCCACAGGCACCGGCAGGTCTGGTGTCAGTTCGGTGAAGATCGAGTGAGTGATAAAATCTGCGACCCCCAGGCCAAGCCGGCTTCCATGCAGCCCTGTCAGCAGTCGGAATGCGCATCCTGGCAGGCTGGTCCCTGGGGACAGGTATTTAGCGCTTTGGAAGATAAGATCCTTAGCTGCATTCTTTCTTCTTATCTGCAGAGGGCTTGTGGAAGGGCCATCCGGGCAGGGCAGGCGGGGTTCCCTGGTACCCCGTGCACGCAGGCACCAGGGAGGGCGGGCAGGCGTGGGCAACACTCGGCCCTCTCACCGCCCTCCTGCAGCCGGTCGGTGACTCCCGTCACGCTCAGGAGTAGTCTCCACCTGGCTGCAGCTGCACACTGGCACTGCAGCGTGTGAGCAAATCACGACAGACGTCACTGTGGCTGCCGATCTCCCCAACTGCCCTGAGGGCTGCCTCAGAGTGTGGTCAGGAGCCAGCCATGGCCCTGGCGCGCCGGTCAGGCCTGGGATCCGGAGGGATATTTCGGCAAAGCTCACCTCCCATAGTCAGTCTGAGTCTTGATCAAGGCCTGAGGACCATCAGGCTTGGCAGGGCTTTCCGGTCCCCTGGCCAGCAGGTCGCAATGCTGGGTGAGCCATCCCTAAGAAGGGGAGGCACCCTCGGCCTGTGTACTGCTGCGATCCAGTCGGTCCTAATATAGAAGTGAAGCGCTCTGTACTCCTGAAGCAGCACTGCGCCTTCCCAGCCAAGTGGAGCAGCCGCCTGCAGTTGCTCATGGAATCTTTGAAGAATGACTCGGGCACCTACCCAGCCGGCCACAGCTGCTTCTGTCCCATCTTCCCTGCAAACCTGCCTGCAGTCAGTGGAGCCGCTTTGTCACTGCCCTTGCAGTGTCGGTCATCCACACGGACAGACCTCTGAGGTGTCCCACTCCGCAGACACCCAGACCAGTGGCAGACGTGCCGAAGAGGTGGAGAGCCACGTACGCCTGCCTTTGTCTACAGCTGCACAACTTCAGGGAAGAAGAGGAAGCGCTGCCTGGACTGTTCTTTTATCTGCTTCTACAGCAGGCCATTCCTCACTCATTTACATCCAGACATTTGTTCTTCTTGGGACCAATCATGTGATTCAGTGGAACAGTTTTTCAAATTACTATATGAGTGATAAATATTTGTAAGAAATTTTACAAAATGTAATTAAGCAAAAAGAAGAAATCCAAAGGCACTCTTAGCTGTATGCAGCAGAGACTGTCAGTGCTGATGTGTTTATAAATTCCTTTAATGTTTTCAAGCTGATACTAGGATTATACTCCACTTTTTAAAAATTGCAATGAAACTTGCATTGCAAAGTAGACAGATCCGTGGCATTCATTGTATTCATAACGTTTTGCAAGCTCTGCTTCCAAAACATTTCCGTTACCCCTGAAAGAGACTTTGTACGCAACAAACAGTTTTCCCCAGTGTCCTCTTCCCTAGCACCTGGCTCCCACCAGTTTGCATTCTTCCTCTGTGGGTCTGCCTGTTCTGGACCTGTCACAGAAGTGGAATTGTGACAGCAAATGGCCTTTCATGTCTGACTGACGTAACTCTGCAGAGCAACCTCTGAGCTCACCTGTATGGTAACATGTGACAACATGCCAGAGCTGTTTATGGCTGATAGTGCTCCATTGTGCAGATATAGCTCTTTGTTTATCCGTTCATCTAAGGTGGACAGTTGAATTGCTTCTACTTTTTTTGGCTACTGTGAGCAAATGTTCATGTTAGTACCTGATTTCCCTTCTTTGGGACAAATACCAGGGAGTAGAATTGCTGCGTTGTACAGTAATTAATTCTGTGTTTAAGTTTTCTGACTTCCAAGTGTTTTTCGTAGCAGCTGCTCCATTTCATACATTCCTAACGCAGTCCACAAGGATTCTAACATCTCCATAGTCATGTCCATGTCTACAGCCTGCTACTTTCCAGTTTTTAAACTGTAGCCTTTCTAGTGGATGTGAAGTGGTGTCTCAGTATGGTTTTTTATTTGTATTTTTCTGATAGTAAAAGATAATCTTTTTTTTTTTTTTTTTGTTACTGGGGATCGAAGTCGGGTCCTTGCGCTTGCGCAGCAAGCAGTGAAACCACTGAGCTAAATCCCCGGCCCAAAAGATAATCTTTTAATGTACTTATTGGCAGTTTGTATATCTTCTTGGGAGAAATACCTATTCAAAATCATTTTCCCTTTTAAAAAATTGTGGCAAGGGCTGGGGATTTAGCTCAGTGGTTCTGCCACCTGCCTCGCAAATGCAAGGTCCCGAGTTTGATCCCCAGTACCCCCCCCAAAAAAAATTGTGGCAAAGTACACCCTCTGAACCATTTATTCTCTTACTAATTTACCCTTTTGGTCATTTTGTAATTGTAAGAATGGTGTTCCTTTTGTCAGTTTCTTATCCACCTGTTTGAGGGTTTTTGTTCTGGATTTCTTTGTTTTTTGGTGGTACTGGGTATGTTTTTAGGATATTTTTGCTTCCTTTACTGTTCTAGTGGATTACTGCATTTTCTCACTGCTATAACAGAGTTCCTGAGTCTGGATAATGCATAAAGAAAAGAGGTTTGGTAGCTCAGAGTTTCAGAAGCCAGTAGTCGGGACAGCACGGCCCAGCTCTGCTGGTGTAGCAGGCTTGCATGGGGGGACGTGTGCCAGCGAGATCCCGTGGTGAGACGAGAAGCCAGGGAACTGGGAAGAGCCAGCCTGCTCTATTGGTGGTACTGGATACTGAACGCAGGAACTTTGCCCTGAGCTATATTCCCAACCCTTTTCTGTCTTTTTAAAGTTCAGGACAGGGTCTCACTAAGTTGCCTAGGCTGGGCAGTGTCTTTCTGTTTATTTAGGCCTCTAATTTTTCCAGCAGTGTTTTAGAATTTTTAGTGCAGTACTCTTTTATCTTCTTGGTTAGTTTTTTTCTAGATATCTTACTCTTTTGGATGTCACTGAAAATGCAGTTGTTTTCTGAATTTCACTTTTGGATTGTTCGTTGTTAGCTTTTAGAAACAACTCATCTTTCTTTAATTCGTACCCCACAACTTTCTGAACTTGTTCATTAGCTACAGTGATTTTTAGGTGTTCTTTGGGGTTCCTATAAACGTGGTGTGGTGGGACCTGTGGACAGAGCAGTTGTACTCCTCCCTTCCGTTTGCTTCCTTTTCCTCGCCCACTTCCAGTCTGGTGCTGAAGGGCTGAGGTGACAGCCAGGCCCTTGTCCTATTCCTGGCTCTGGAGGGGAGAGGTCAGTCTGTGTGCTGCTAGCATGAGCTTTTCAGAAGTCCCTCGAAACATGCTGAAGAGGTGCCCTTCTACTCAGAGTTTGAAGAGTGGCTTTTCATGGAAAGATGTAGAATGTAGTAAAATGCCCTTTCTTTACCGACAGATGGCTGCGTGTCTTTCCCCCTTACTCTATTAATTTGGCATATTTCTTTGATGTTCTTTTCGTGTTAAAGCACCCATACATTCCTGGGCATACTCGCTTGGCCATGATGGGTCATCCTTTGAATATGTTACTGGCTGTGGTTTGTTGAGAGGTTTGTGCCTGTATGTAGATGAGATGTTGGCCTGTAGTTTCTTTTTTTGCCTTGGTACTAAGGTGATGCTGAACTCATGGATTGAGTTAGGAAGTGCTCCCTTCTCTCAAGTTTTTTGAAGCATTTGGAAAGAATTGACGGCAGTTTTTCCTTAGATATTTGGTAGAATTCACCTGTAAAGTGGTCCTGGACTTTTCTTTATTGGGAGGTCTTTGATTATTGGCTCAGCCTTCTTTTTCTCTTTACTTTTTAGGTCGGTGTTTTGATTTGTTCTTTCCCATTTGGTTTGGTTTGGTGCTGAAGATCAGATCCAGAGCCCCGTGCGTGTTAAGCTCGTGTCTCCCACTGAGCTGTGCCCTCAGCCCTTTATTTCTTCTGGTCTCTGTTTTTGTAATTTGTGTGTTTCTAGACTCTTTGAGTTTGTTTGCATGTTCATCTAGATTATCTAACATGTGGGCACGAAGTTGTCCAAGGGACTCTCTTGTCAGCCTTTCCATTACGGTAGTGTTGGTGGTTGTGTTCTCACTTTCACTTCTAATTTTAGTAATTGGAGGGTGTTTTTGTTCGTAGTCAATCTAGTTAAACATTTTTCAGTTTTGTTGATTATTCCAAGACCAAAAAATATGGATGTGAACTCCAACTGATCCCTCAGAATAACGTCACAGCAGCCTTCTAAGGACTTGTTTTGGCCCAGTACCCTGTTGGGAAAGTGAAGGGTCTAGAAATGACAGGTGCACTTCCCTTTCCAAGGGTTCAGAGTTAAACCCTGCAGATAAAATCCCCTTGTCTCCATAATAAAATAGGTCAGTACAACTCCCCCGAGCAGGATTGCCCCCTGTTACCTAACTTCTTTGGTGCCAGCCCCCTTGCCCATTGTGATGGAGATGTTTATCCCTTGCCAAATGTTGTGATGCAAGGAAGGGAAGAAAAGATGGTGACTTTCTTGTCTCTCCTCCTTCCCCAGTGCAGTGTCACCTGTGGCCAGGGCTACCAGCTGAGAGCAGTGAAATGTGTCCTGGGGACCTACATGGCAGTGGTGGACGACAGTGGCTGCAGTGCAGGCACGAGACCGACCGACACCCAGGTGGGTCTCCTGCCCACTCGGGGCTGGCTCTGCGGTGCTGAGATGCTGCCTGCTCAGAGGCCAGGCCACATCAGAATCGCCTCGCAGATAACTGTGCAGCTAGAGAAGCCAGCTGACCAGTTTGTCGGGATTTACTTACTTGCTGTATTAGAATCTGAGATTTGCTTTACTGACTTTGTTCTTCCTTAGTGATTTAAAGTATATGTAGGTTTGATTTTGCTTCTTATTGGATGTCAAATGTTGGTTGGTCTTGTTTTCTTGAACTAGAACTTTTTAATGATTTCCTTGTAGAAATAACTGATGTCCTAAGTTCAGGCTGTGAGTGGTGAAGCTAGCTTGGACCAGCTCACAAGACCCAACTGGTAAATTTTACAGGGCCTCTGTGAGCTGGGAGTTAAATACAGCTGTCATTCAGGTGGAAAAATGTAAGCCTGTCATGAAACATGATATTAACAGCTAAGCTGATGGGCCCGGGGATTTAGCTCAGTGGTTCTGCAGCCTGCCTCACAAGTGCAAGGTCCCGAGTTCGATCCCCAGTACCAAAAAAAAAAAAAAAAAAGCAAAGCTGATAAGGATTTTAAAGTATCACACATGTTACTGTTATCTATGCCCCCAGGGTTACTTACACTTGCATTTGTTTTCATGGTGGATATATGGTGTGGTAATGTGCTCCTGAACATCTCTTCCCAACTCTTGAATTGACTGATATCAACTTGGCTGCTTGAAATTAGCCTTGGTGAGAATATTTCCACCAAAGAAACCAGCAAGTACTGTATCACAGGGTTTTATTTATTGTTTTGTCTATTGTTTAGACTTAAGAAAATGATGGAAAAAATGTTAATGATGAAGATTAAACTTTATCTTCTATCTGTATCTGTTACATTGTAAATAACAAGAAAATTAGATCTTCTGGTTCTCATTTTGAAGATTATCATCTTGGTTTTCAAAGAATTCTTTCAAAGGAATGACAGGGAGTCAGGTTCTGACAAACATCGCATTGTTTCAGCTTCACCTTCCTTTATTTTCATGGTACTTGGGATTAACTCAGGGCCTTTGCATTCGACTAGAGAACCCCAACCCTTTTCCATGTTTATATGGTGATAGAGACTCACTAAGTCCCTAAATTGTCTAGGCTAGGCTTGAGCTTGCAATCCTCCTGCCTCAGCTTCCTAGAGTGGTGGGTTACTAGTGTGTGGCATCACACCTTTCTCACGTTCCTCTAAATATAAACAAAGTATCAGCTAACATTCATGTCAGAACTACGTTGCTCATAGTTTGGCAATAGGTTTAAAAGTTCATCAAAATTCAAAGCATTTTGTGGGAAAATCAGTCTGCTATGTGGAATTTAAACTAATTGTGTTTTACTGTTATTTGTAAATTATTCGCTATACACCCTTTAACTCAGTAGAATTTATGACAACTGAGCATGTACATATCTGACTGCATGTAATTTCTGTCTATGTGTGCAAACATGTGCAAACACACGCACATCTTTTCCCTGCAAGAGAGACTGCTCTTTCCTCGGCACACCATTCTCTGAGTCTGGACTCGGGTGTCATTTCTGTAAAGAGAAGACCTGAGGCTGCGTGTCGGCTTTACTAACTGCTGAAGGTGGGATCTGAGCCATGGCAGCGCGAACGCTCGCTCCGAGAGCAGCCGCACCAGGACTCAGGCTCACCGTGAGCTTCTGTCTGCCCCTCAGCACGGCCATCGCCACGCAAGGAGCGGCACGTGAATGTGGCAGTGATGTTTTTGTTGTCATTGATCAGTTAACCAAACAGCATCTATGACTCATGGCTTCTTCGTTTTTACCATTTCATTCTGAGTATGATAGACAGACGCCTGGGAAATGTAGCTGTGACATCACAGATGCCAACAAGCAAGCGTGTTGCAACTCCCTTAGAGACTGAAGCATAATTTCTCTCTGATTTCCCTGGTGTCACTGGGGGCTTCCGCCGATGCAGCAGGTGGACAGTTCCTTCACCCTGGAGAGCCTGGGGCTTTCTATGGACCACAGGCAAAAGAACAGGCGAGGTCCGGACCAAGCTGCAGGCTCCCCTGCTGCTGGGTTTGAGCGTCAGGGAGGCATCGTTGGGCAGCACCAGCCGCCTCCTGCACAATGGTGGGAATGAATTAAATCACGGAGTAGTTGCTGGTCACTGTGGCCGGGGTTCGTTGCGGTGAGGTGTGTGAGTGCCGGGATGTCGTCCACTCACAGAAGACTGAACTCATCGTGGGGCCTCTCTCTGGGTGACTGAGGGCTGTTAGGAGAATGCCAGGTGTCGGCCTACTGAATACGCCTTTTATTTCCAGATTTGACCTTTGGGGCTTCAGGTGTTATCTTTAGGTAAAGTGGGAAAACAAGTTCATGAGTGGCAAACTTTGACTAGAGCACTAACTGAAGTGTGAGAGCAGGATTCAGCCCTGACAGTTTTGAAACACTGACAGATAATCATTTTTAGGTGTCGCCCTGTTGTTTCCAGTCATACTTACCACTTCATAATACTTTCTTCTCTTTTCCCATGAGCAGATGAATAACCATGGCTTTAAAAATCACTCTGTCGACCCCTGCCCTGCAGTAAGGCATGCACAAAGACTGCACCACATGTTGCCGTGGAGGCTGTCACGCGTGACCTGTAGAGACGCCCAGAAATCTGCGTTCTTAGCCTTGGCCGCGTAAACGCATGTTGACTTGAGCAACCATCTTTCCCCACATCCAGGACTGTGAAGTGTCGCCTTGTCAGCCTCCCCCGGTGGCCCCGGAAGCCAGAAGCCCCCACGGCGGGCGGAGGACGCAGTGGCGCTTTGGGTCTTGGACATCAGTAAGCGCAGGCTGGGAGGCGGGCGGCGGGGCAGCTGCCTCGCCGGGGCGGGCAGTGGGTTGCTGCCGCCCCTCACTGCGTCCCCCTCCCACACGCAGTGCTCAGCCACCTGTGGAAAAGGCACCCGCATGAGGTACGTCAGCTGCCGGGGCGAGGACGGCTCTGTCGCCGACGAGAGCGCCTGTGCCAGCCTGCCCAGACCCGAGGCCCGGGAGGGCTGCTCGGTGACGCCTTGCGGGCAGTGGAAGGCTTCCGACTGGAGCGCGGTAAGCAGGCGGGTTCTGTGGCACGTGTCAGCGAGGGGTGTTTCTGAGTTGGGCTCAGTTTGTGATTTAAATTATTCTGCGCCACATAGGTGCAGCTGGTCAAGGGTGCGAGGAACGCACGTTTTTTAGCAGTCTGCTTGAGCGCCTGTCCTGCTGGGCTGGCTGGAAATGCCAGTGTGCACTGAGTTGCGTCAGTGTGGTGGGCTTGTCGGGAAGGTAAAGAGTGCAGGGATACGCCCCTGCTTTGACACCACCACCTGCTGGCCCCGTGTCCTTTGAAGTCAAGTGGCTCTTGGTTCCCCGGGCCATGAATGCAGCCTGCTATGCTTGCCAGGCACCGTCAGTGAGTTTGTGTAAAAGTGGACAAACCTTTGCCTTTAGGCAACTTCTGAGAGTTGTGTAAATTGTGTATGTTAAATGCTTTGCAGAAAGTAGGTGCTCAACACATGTCAGACAGTCCCGCTCTCGTGCCTTGAACCCGCAAACAGCCATCCATCTGTCCATCAGTCCATCTTTCCATTAGGCCTGCCTGTCTGCTCACCGGGCCCTTGTGACAGCTCACTAGAGAGAGCACAGAGACCAACTGGTACTTAAGTCCCCGTCTTCTTGGAGATGGTTCCAATGGTGGATCGGGTTCATGAGCAAATAAAGAAATCCAGGCTATAGCAACCGGCACTAATAAGTTCTAGACCAGAGTCCAGCAGGGGAATGACGTAGGAAAGGTGTGAGATGCTTTCTGATAGGTGGTTAAAGGGCCTGTCGTTGAGTGGACCTAGTGCAGCAAAGGGGTGGGCCATGTGGATGGCCCAGAGGCAGCCAGAGCCACACTGGAACGGAGTCCCCAAGACGGGGCTGGTTGGGGGTGTTCAAGTAGCACCCTCAAAGCCACGCGTCGGAGAGTCATGGAGAATGACTGGGGAGGACTCTGGCAGCCGGCGACCATCAGGAAGGGCGTGGTAGCTCAGCATAAGGGTTCAGGGTACTGTTCTCAGTGGACTGGGAAGCCGTCGCAGGGATGCCCAAAACAACGCTTGTTTTGCAGGATTGTGTTGTGTGCTGTGTAGACAGCAGACCCAGGCAGCAGGGAGTCAGGTTGTAGGAAGACTGGGTTCAGTTTTAAGGCATCGCGGTAGTCCTGGCAAGAGAAGGCGATGACTGGGACCTGAGAGGGGCGGGGGACTGAGCGTGGCTGGATTTGGGGTACGTTGGGGGTACGACCGGGGTGACGGGCTCTCTTGAGGAAGTGGATGTGGGGCAGTCAGCACGATGCCGGATTCTGACCGGAGCAGCTGGGCAGTGGTGGGCCGTTTGCAGAAATGTCCATCTAGGGACTTGGAACCACCCGGCGAGTGGCAGGCCCTTTTCCTTCCTAACTGAACGCAGTGCTCCGTGACGTGTGGCCAAGGGAGGGCAACGCGGCAAGTGGTGTGTGTCAACTACAGTGACCACGTCGTCGGCCAGAGCGAGTGCGACCTGGATTACATCCCCGAGACCGACCAGGACTGCTCCATGGCGCCGTGCCCCCGGTGGGGCCCCGACAGAGGCTGGGCTGCTTCGCACCCTTTCCAAAACGAGGACTTCCGGCCCAGGGGCGCCGGGCCAAGCCGCACCCACGTGCTGAGCGGAAACCAGTGGAGAACGGGCCCCTGGGGAGCGGTGAGTGTCTGCTGGGGTCCCGCCTGCCCCTGCTCGTGCCTGCTGTATCTTGGGGTGCGGGTTCTGGGAAAGGCTGGAATCCTGGGAGCACGGCTTCCTGTGCCATCGCTTCCGATCCTTTGGAGTGAGCGTCATGGGTCGGTGACAGGCCCTGGAAAGACGCCTGTGGTCATGGGACTGCCAGCGTGGGTGTTCCTGCTGGCCGCACGACGCCTCCGGTGCCTCCTGCAAGGCACTGCGAAAGCCAGGGTGACGAGAGGGAAGGAGCTCTGAGACTTCCACGTCAGAAAGGGCTCGCTTCCCCTCCTTCCGGACGGGCACAGTCTCCCAGTCTCGAGGTTGCTGTGCAGTTGGAGGGTGTGAATCTTTGTCCTCGATTAGGGGATTACTCTCGTAGGACCGGGAACCATCCCTGAATGGGCATCATGGATCTGAGGGAAACGCCACCGCTTGATCCAGAGACTTCCACTTTCAGATTAGGGGGCTGAGCCAGGCCCCTCTCGTCAGCGAGCCTCAGTTTATTGGTCGGTAAAATGAGCATGAGTTAATTCCCACTTCCTTAGGGTGTAAGAATTAAATGACATGACACAAATAAAGTGCTATGCACTCTCCCTGTCACAGCGTGAGACACAAATGCAGGCAGTTGTCTTCATTAGGTCTTTAGGAAAGCCTGGTAAAAGAAAAATGTGCATTTGGGGGTTTTTAATTATTTTACTGAATAATTCTGCAGAAATAATTTTATGTTGTGGAGTACTGACAACGCTTAGTGAATTCAGAGGGGACAGGATAACAAGGGACCCCATTGGGCATACAGCCAGCCAGAAAGAGGTATGCCACTCATCCAGGGGTCTTCTTTTCCACTACTGTTGGATTCCTTCTGCTACTGCTAATTGTGTTTAATTATTTATGAACTGCCCGCTGCCTGTTTCCCACCCAGTGATGTCGAGGGAATCAGCCAGCTGTCCTTGCCCAGTGAGTTCTAATTAATCACTTGCGTTCGGGGTTCCTCCCCCGCCCGGGTGAACTGTATAAGCAGCAGCTGCCACACCAGCATCTGCCCCACCTCAGGCCCACTCAGGCTTCCTACTTTACGGCTTCTTTGCCTGGGTTAGAAAAAATTAGGGTTCTGAGAAATTAGAGCGGCTTGTGGACCTGAGAGCCTGGTGGATTTTCCTAGTTGGAAGACTCTGAAACTCACACATGTGTGTTCTAATGGTAGTACTTGGGAGGTTTTGCTTTGTTGTGGGTTTTTTTAAACCTCTTAGTGCTATTCTTTAATATTTAGGGCCGCATCTGAGAAAGATGTGTCCCTTCAAGGTTGAATGACTCTGCCCTTACAGAGTCCCCAATTAGGAAGGATTAGATAAGCCTTTTGCAACACAGGAAATACCCTTGCTTTCTTCATTGTGCCTTCATTTGGGTTTGGGGGTTTTTGTCCCTAAATTAAGTGTGGCCCAAGCTGTACAGTGTGGAGTTTTCTTCTGCTATGCTGACTGTCGACCTCCAGGAGGGAGAGGTTTGCGCATGCCCCTTCCCACCGTATGGGACCAGGCAGGGGACAAGTCTAACACAGAGTTCTCTAAATTCTAATCCCTCAACAATGCTAATTAAAATTATACTTCCTGTGTTTTTCATTATGTATGAAGTTGTTTAAAAGCAAGTAACAATTATATCCAGGTTTAGATTAAGTATACCAGAACACTCAGAGAACAACGGTAGAACTTTTGTAAATCAAAACATATCTGTTATGGCAGTGTCTAAATGACCCCCAAAGCCTCATGTGGTCATAGGTGGGGCTTTTCAGAGGTGGCTGGATCTAGAGTGTGATGCTGGGATTAAGTGTGTGGTATTGGAATTAAGGGTGTGTGAGTACTAAATTAGTCTACCAACTGTTTTGGCATTGTTCTGGGTGTGAATAATGGGAAGGCCTCCCTGGGTGTGAATGCTACCCACCCTAAGGGTGTGTAGCTTGGATAGAATATAAGGGACAGAAAGATGGCTGCTGCTGGTGGCTTTCTGCTTTGCTGCCTTCTACCTGCCACGAACTGTTTCTCCTCTGCCATGCCACTCTGCCTTAGAGCCAGCCAACTATCAACTGAAACCTCTACAAACTATGAGCCAAAATAAACCTTTCCCGCTTTAGCTTTGGATGTTGGGTGTTTTGTGTCAGTAGTGAGAAAAGTAACCAAGACAGTGTCTTAAGTATTTTCTCTGAACTAATAAATCTGTTATTCTGCTCTGTGGGTTAATATAAAATGAGAATATTTTAAATACCAATGAGAGTCCTCTTCAAAATTTCTTATCATTTGACCAGCCTAGGCAGGGAAATTGAAGTGTAATTCATGCAGTTAGCAACAAAATATATTTCCTTCTTGATACGGCAGAAGCTGACCAGCAAGAAGCAATGTCAGAGCATATTTTAAGATAACACTGATTTGAGCTGGAGTTGGATAGAAAGCACAAGTCAGCCTTCAGTACTACCTGGAACTGAAAACAAAACATGTAAATATAGCTCGAAGCTTGGTGATTCCTGGGAATGACATTGCTTTGAGGACCAGATGGTGATTTTATAAGCAAACCGGTTTTGTAGCAAACACACAGAGCAAAGAAGATAGGAGATTATTGAAACCAAAAGCACCCAAGTGTGGATACCTCAGAGAGCCATGAGGAGGAGCTCTCCTGGGAGCTGAAAAGAAGTGGAGCAGCACAAGGACAGCCCTCAGAGAGTTAGGCCGGAAGGCAGCGGTCAAGATGGCGTCCTATCTGGCTACCTGTCACCAGGGAGTGCAGGCGGGAGGGGAATCTGGCTCGCCAGGCCCAGGCCCAGGCCCAGGGACACCCAGTGCCTTTCAGAGCACTGGGTGAATGCACTAGAAGCTCCATTCCATCATCTGTTGACTCCCTGAGCCTGTGATTTCACCTCTGTTTTGAAAGGGAAGTCAGATGTTGGTTGTAACTACAAGCTCTTGCGATTTTGACAAGAATTTCCATATAAACAGTGGGGTCCAGTCCATCAACACCACTGAGGCAGAGAGGAAGGGAGGACAGTAAGTGAGGTGCTTTGGAAATCTGAAGGCCTTGACTGCCCCTGACCCTGGCTGCCCCCGTGTGTGCTGAGGGTGACTCGTGTCGTGATGTGCTCAGTGTTCCAGCACGTGCGCAGGTGGCTCCCAGCGGCGGGTTGTGGTGTGTCAGGATGAGAACGGGTACCCGGCGCGGGACTGTGTGGAGAGAATCAAGCCCGACGAGCAGAGAGCCTGCGAGGCTGGCCCGTGTCCTCAGTGGGTGTCCGGCAGCTGGGGAGAGGTAAGGGCAGCGTCTGTCTGTCTGTCTGTCGTCTGTCTGCCTGCCTAGTGGGAGAGCAGCGTCTGCTCACTCAGCTGTGCTCTTGTTCATACCCTACTTTAAGGAGGAAGCACTCGGTCTAGAGGAAGCTTCTACATTCGGAATTTACTAGGAGACCCATCTTAATTCTGAACTATTTTAAAAATTCATCTGCTACCAAAAATTAGCAGTTTGAATTCATAGGAAAGGAAAATTAGGAATGAATGCCGATAAATGCTGCTCTGAGTTTATGAACTGACCTCTGGCAGTTAAAAATGAGTGTTTTTACAGTGACAGAAATTATGTGTAATATCAGTCCGTGGAGGCCTTGCCGTCTTCTGTGGGGTTTGGGGATGTTTTGTGCACCCCTCTTCCTGGTATTCCAAATTCCAGCTAACGCCGGAAGGAGTGGATGTTATTATTCCTTATCACAGATGGCTTGCTTCAGTCACAGAAGTGAGTAGTTAGCGCATATTCTCAAATAATGAAAGCCTTCAGCATTAGCGTCTCTAGGTTGCCTTCTGTGACTGGTACCATATTTCTCCAAAAATAAGAAAGGGTCTGATGTTAATTCTTGCTCCAAGAGACGCGGTAAGTCTTATTTTCAGGGGCTGTCTTATTATTTCATGTACAACAATCTGCATTTCTTCATGTACAAAACATACATTTGTTCAGATACAGTCGTGTCATCTTCTGGAACATCGTCATAACTCTCCAAAGCCAAATTCCAGTCTGAATTTCTTTCGACCCCATTTCCTGTAGAACCACTGGACCCCATCTCTCCTGTCCAGCAACAGAGCCCTCCTTGAGTGAGCAGTTTCTCCATGTCACTTGCTCACAGTGTGCTGGCAAAGCAGCGTCAGGGACCTTATCCCATGAGTTCTTCACCCGAGTCACAACCTCTTGCAGGCTGGGCTTCACAGTTTCCATTAAATCAGGTGTTAACTGAGGCAGGAGTGGCAGCAAAAATGGTGACAGCTGAGAGTGATGCTCCACACAAAAGGGACGAAAAGTTGCAGGCACCAAAATGCAGAAATGTTTATTTCACACGAGTGCATTAAGTACGTCCATTACAGCCCACGACGTATTGAGTTAGGAAGATTCATGGCGGACACAGGCACGTCTGTTGCTTATGAAGTGCTCATGTTACTCGTGTCTTGTTTCTGTGCTCCAAATGGCCATGTGGCAATAAGTCTTGAGTTCATCTATTTGCATCATTTACCTCTTGTCCAAAGGCGCCCACTTGGGTATCTACAAATGCTTAATTATATTATCATTTACTGTGAGTATTAATGTCAATAATAATTATTTATATTTAATTATGTACTATTATTTTGTAATTCAGTACATCGTCTTGTGTTGCAGCAAATACACTAGATGCCTCCGTCTGGCTGTTAACCAGGGCTTATTTTGGGCTGGGGCTTATATTATGAGCATCCTAAAAAAATCATGCTAGGGTTTATTTCCACGTAGGTGTTATTTTCAGGGAAATGCAGCCAAAGGCAGTGGTCTACTGCAGCACACGAACCTGGGCCCAGTTCTCAGCCCTGGCTGTCATCAGCTTTGTGACCCTGGAAAATCACATAACTTTGGCAGATTTTTATATCCTCATGTCTAAATGAGAATACCAATAGCAACTTCATACTGTACGCAAGTCTTCAGTGAGATGGTGCCCATCAAATGCCCTGCAGCCAGCCTTCAATCAGTTGCTTTTATAAAAATGCAGTAATTTACACTATTAATGATGACAGTAATTATTATTATCAGTAATACTATTACTATTATAAGTAGTATGGAGCTCCTATTTTACTTAATGCTAGGGGTCAGATGCTTTGTTTTGTGCTGAAGCAAGCGTACATCTCTCTGTTGCTGAATCCACAGGAATAGCACGTGCTTAAAGCTTGAGTTGTCCTGCCAAGACTAAAATTTATCAAATAAAACATGCATTTCACACTGGGGCGACCCGAGCGCTAAGAGGAAGAGCGACAAAGGAGACCAATGGGCTGTGGTCCCCAGTGCTGGCTAAGGAAATGGTGTCCGTGTCTTGGGAGTTGCAGTTGCCTTCAGTGACCATTACGTCAGCTGAGAGCCTGGCTGGAGGGAGGAAGGGAAGAGAGGGCACCGTGGGGCCCCAGCGCCTTTCCCGGTTGGTCCTTGGCACCGTGATTAGGCTTCTGTACCTGGCCCCTTGCCAGGGGAGTGCGCGTCTTTGCTGGACGCTGGCTGGCAGGAGGCCGATCCTCCCAGGCTCCGTGGGAGAGCTGGGCCCCCACAGCAGGGAGGCACTGTCCAGGAAACATAGCTCATTCCCACCAGAATGTGGCCTCGCCAGACGTCAGCGCCCTGACTAGCCTTCCCAGCACGCTGACTGTTCGTCCCAGGAGCAAGCTGTAGCTGTCCAAAACTCAGAGCTACAGTAAAAAAATCTTATCGTCATAAAGGTCAGTAGATATTGGAGTCAGAGAATTGCCAGTGCTGGTGATAGATTCTCGGAATGTCGGAAGACAGGGCTAGAGGTGTAGCTCAGTAGCGGGTGTATGCCCAAGGTATGGGTCACCCCAGCACCATTGCTTTTTCAAAAAGTTGCCTGAAAATAAAATGGCTATTTCATTATCTCCTTTATTTATATTAGGTGGGTTTTGTTTGCGTGATATGTTTTTGTTTTTAGTTTTATTTTTTGGTACCGGGGATCGAACTTGGGTCCTTGCGCTTGCACAGCAGGCGGTGAAACCACTGAGCTAAATCCCGGCCCAATGTTTTTGTTTTAATTTTTTTGTTTTATTTAAAGAATTTTATCTTACTGGCTAATGGATTGACCTTGGTCAAGTTAATCAGCCCGAGTTGAGCAGATTACACCCGCCCCTTGATGAGCTCGCGCACACACAGCCCTTGGTACAGGTGTGGAGGAGGCCTGTAAACCGCACCCCCTCCATGTAGGAGGACTTGGGCCTCTTGCATGTCCCCCAGGCAGTAACCCGACCTTGGCCTGCCCCTCAGTCTCCCAGTGCAGTTCCAGAGTTTGGCTGAGGAAAGTTTCTCGTGACAAAAGGAAACTGTCATGGAGTGGTGATGAGAGGTAACCTTGGCCTTCTGTCTCCCGCAGTGCACGAAGCCTTGTGGGGGAGGCGTGCGGACCAGGCTGGTGGTCTGCCAGCGGGCCAGCGGCCAGCGCTTCCCGGACCTGAGCTGCGACGTCCTGGAGAAGCCCCCCGACCGTGAACAGTGCGGCGCGCACACTTGTCCCGATGGCACCTGGAGTGCTGGCCCTTGGAGCTCGGTACGGCACTAAGTGTTCATGTTTGTCTCCCACCTGTCCACTCCAGGGGCGCTGGGCAGTCCTCTGCTGCGGGCCTTGTCGAACTGGGGAGGGGCTCCTGTCGCAAGTGGTCTGCTCCCTCCAGATGGTCACACAGGAGAGCTGTGGTGGCCACAGTGACGTTACGGAGCATGTGTGCCTCATACCGGACCGGGTGCCAGGAAGTAGCTTCCTTCTTGCAAGACTTACTGATAGTGACTGACAGCTCAACAGCAAGTGTTCTTTCCTTTTCAAAGCTAGGGTAGTTAGGACTTTTGAGGGGAGATTCCTGCTTATTGAGGCCAAAGCAGTTTTTCCTTCAGTGACTGCAGCTTGCCTCTGTGTCACCTGGGGGTAACCCAGTACAATCAGCACAAAGGCTGTGCCTCCAAAGAGGCCGAAACCATCTTGAAAAACAAATGACCAGCAGTAAAGTCGGTGGCATGGTGCCTTTCACGGTGTCTGAAATGTTCTCCCTCTTCCACCCAGACAGATGCAGGCTGGAGCCATCTTTGCTCTGGTCCTGGACTTCTTTTACTGACTACTTAGCCAGCCGTGACATGTAGGTAGTTGCCACTAAATACTCTGCAGACTTGGGGGCAGCTCTTGACAAAAACCATGGATCAACCATGTCAAGGCAATAGCTTGGCTGAGCTGAGCTACAGGCTGTGGAGACATGAGGGCTGTCCCGTGAAAATAGAGTAAGCGTTCCTGTAAGTACAGCTAGTGCACTGCAGCTGAATTCAGTATTATATAAAGTCATATCCAGAAGCCAGTTTACTTAGTATGATTCTGAGGAAAAGTCACAACACCCTGAAGCAGCTGAAGAGCAGCTTAGCTGAGTGGCATGTTGGACACACACCCTGGTGCTTGGAAGAGCCAGGCGTTTCGGTGTCTGAGGCAGTGTGCAAGGCCCTAGAACCTAGCTGGTAACCACTGTGCTTTGCAGCACACGGAAATGCAGAGTTGGTACTATTTGGCTGGGCTGTGAGGATTGTATTCATGAGCTTAAGAAATGTCACTGTGTGTCCCAATACAGTTCCTCCACATCATTGTGTCTATAATAAGGCCATCTTCCCAAATGAGCCCTTTGAAGAGACCAAAGATAATGTTACAGTGTATCTTCTGACATTCCCAGCATCCTTCAGTTACCTACTGCATAACACTTTTCAATTTTCCATCTTGAGCCAAATATATTACACTCTTCATTCAACCAAGAGTAACACCAACACTAGAGTTATGTTCAGCTGTCTGGACTGCTGAACTGAATTACATATATATGTGTATATTTCTACAACACTCACATATTCTTGATACAGCTGGGATTTTTGTTTGTTTGTTTTTACACAGGATCACCACCCTTCCCCGTAGATATTTTAAGAGCTTAAATTTTAAAATATGAACTGCTACTTTTAATGGAAGACATGAAGTTTATTTTGTAGCTGTTCTTGGTCCCACATACAGTATTCTGATACATGAGAAGGTAGGGCAGAGGGAGAGAGTAAAATTCCAGTACTCTGGTACCCATAGGACCAAGGGCATGGGTTGTAAAAACCATTTTGACGACCTGTGTGATTTTGATGCTGCCTTTGTAAAGTGATCATTATTTGAATATATGCATATTTAAATGACTCTCCAGTCAAGAGAACAAGGCCAATTATTCGAGGCCTTCAAATTATAATGTTAAAAATGAAATCAAATGCTTTTTATTTAAAAAGATCTATCGGTAATATATTATTTTGTCAAAATCTATGTGTGATAGGGCAGTCTTTCAAATTCTTACTATTGGCTTTTGATTTTCAGCTTATTTCTGTGGACTCTTTGGTACAGTATCTTAGTAGCCCTAAACTAAGCATACCTCGGTGAATTGTTTAATAGCCATAAAGTCACTTCTGTTGTACTTCATCATTGTAACTGATGGTGAAGTTAACAACAACAATAAGTACCTTTGAGGTGCTAACATGTCACTTTCAAGAGAAAGCAGTTTAAATTGACTAGAAATCAGGTGGCGATCCCTCATCTGCCAGTTGCTTTCTGTCCCCAAGGACGTGCACACATAGATGCTGCTTGTCAAGAAACCACTGCTGTGCAAGGCAGCCTTCCCACCATCAGAGTAGAGATGGCCTACTTCAATTTGTTACCAAAGAAGAGTTGTTAGGAAAGAGACCTAGAATTACTGTTGACCCGGCTTCCACAGTCTAAATGAAGGTTCTGTAAACTTAGGGTTCATATACTCATTTTAGACCTTCTACTGATTCTGGCTCAAGCCATTGCAGGTCTGAGGATTATGACTGTGAAAAACAGCTTCCAAAATTCAGCCTTTTCTCTCCTTTTAAAATGCATGCTGGGACTCTGTTTTGGTCGGTCTTGTTTTGGGGACAGGGTTCTTGCCCTCTCCACCCTGCCATTCAGTGGACTTCTGCGGCCAGTCCCGGCAGTGCATCGTGCAGTGGACACACATGTCCACGTGGAAAGAGGCCTATGCCGAGAGGCCGTAACTAGCACTGCGGGTCAGCAGCCCGGTCTGGATGGCTAAAGTAAGCAGGTCTGCCAGCGGAGCCATTCCGGGCACTGTGGCATTTCTGAGTGCATTGGCCCGTGTGTCTGCATGCCGATCAGCTGAGAGACTGTGGCTGTCCTTGACACAATTGCGTCTTTGTGCTTTTTATGACAAACCTAAAAGCGTTCTCCAAGCCATGCTTTAGGTGCTGTGGAATAAATGCTTGTTGATCTGAATAATGACACTTTCTGAGCTCACAGAGGAGCTGTGCTTTTGTGTCTGCCTGGCCAACTTACAAATTTGTATCTACCTCATTTTCATATTAAAGTTTGCAGGTTCTGTAGGTAGGAAGAGAACATGTTGAACAGCCGTGTCTCATAACCTCACTACATCCGTCTTTAGTAAAGTAAAGGTTGTAAAAATCATTACCATATTTTCTGAAGAAAGTTTTAAGCAGCCACACCTAGTATTTCTGAATATTTTGAGCAGCACAAACGTATGTGTTTCTATAATAAACCATATTTATTTTTCCATGTTATTTAATTTTATAAACAATGTTTAAAAGTCAGTGTTCATCAGCAGACTGTAAAGGCTAGTAGGCTATATGAATTAGAAGTGAATGTACATGTTTCCTTTTGGCTTTAAAAAGGTTCATTTTGAGTTTGTAAATCCCCTCCGATCTGTACTACCCCATCCCCAAAATCTGAGTAGCTAAGTATCAAGTTCTGTCTGATTGGGTAGTTAAAGCATGTATTTTAACAGGATACTTTAAAAAATATTTCCTAGTTGGAAATGATGCTTAGTCATATAAACAAAAATATATGAGTCTTAATATTTTGTTGGGTATTATTTTCTTTCCTAATACTGTTGTCCTGATTCATTGAGTCTCACTTTGAAATATGAATGCTCTCCATTATTGAATTTGTAGATAATGACAAAATATAGCCAGAAGACAAAACAAGTTATTAGTAGAAGAAATGATCCTGAACACATAAGAGAGGCTAGAAAAAGAAAACCTAAATAGATAAATTTTATTACACCTTATAATTTGTGTTCAGGTTACCGCAAAAGCCTCATATTTGTCTACTTGTTGTTTACCTGAAATACATTTCAGAAAATATTGCTTATTAAAGAAAAATAAAGTACCATACTAATAAACTTGGAAATTTCAAGACAGGCTTCCGTTTGCAAAAAATGTAAATCATGGGGCCAGGGATTTAGCTCAGTGGTTTCTCTGCCTGCTACACAAGCGTAAGGACCCAAGTTCGATCCCCGGTACCAAAAAAAAAAAATGTAAATCATGAAAATGACCCAAAGACCTATTGATGCCTTATTCCCCGAGTTTCCATTCTTCCGTTTATTATGGTATTTATGGATGAAAGAACCAAAATTAGGGAATCCCTTTAGGAGTGGAATTTTTTTTCCTAACACAGTTCAAGAAGAAAGGTAGGCTTCCAATCAAATGATGATACCAAAGGCTCACTTGTACTGAGTGTGACCATGTAGCATACCACGTGAACCCACGCCACAACCAGCTTCCTGCCGTCCCGCGAGGAGGGCCTGAGGAGCCACTCCACTCACTGCGATGCCCTTCTTCCCTGCTGGGACTCACACCAGCGTGCCGCCTCAGTCACTGCTGTTGTGGTGGACAGAAACAGCCTATGTGGGGATGGCTCTTTTTTATAGTCAATCAAAGATACTCCCAAAACAGCATCATCGAGTGTCCATAGTATTGAGCTAGTTTAGACATTCTATACTTGACTCTAATAACAGAAAATCCAAACTTGCTGGGCATTTAGCTCAGTGGCACCACACGCCTGCCTTGCAAGCACAAGGTCCTGAGTTCAATCCCTGGTACCAAAAGAAAAAAAGGAAAATCCAAACTTAAAACTACTGTTGGTCAGTTCCCATGACTAGCATCTGTGAAAATGTCGAACAACTGTTTAAGTTTACGGAATAGGAAAATATCCCTCTCGTGTTAAAGATACAGTTTTGGCCAAAGTAGAGGGATAACACCAAGATTTTGACTATGAAAAATATCACATATAAATGCATGTGTGTTATTCTGAAATATATTGCTAGAGATTTTAAAAATGAAGTAAGAGCCACGTAAGTTGGTCTGTCAATATGGAATGTAAAAATAAGATAACTTTCAAAACCAGAACAAAATGACATGAAATTGTAGCATTTCTCTGGGTTCAGTGAAGATCAGGACTCTAATTCATTCATCTCCAGTGGTTCAGAGAAATGAAAATACTGCCTACATCTGCAGCACTGGGGACAAAACTTGGCAGGCTTTGCCACACTGACTGATTTTAGGCCTGTGAGAGACTCTGCCCCTGCCTCCTTCGGAGAGTTGTCTCATGGCAGCTTGACAGATTCAGATGTTTATGGGTTTGAAAAGCCCACATAGGGCCGGGGATTTAGCTCAGTGGTTCTGCAGCCTGCCTCGCAAGCGCAAGGTTCCAGGTTCGATCTCCAG